AACATAAGTTTCCTTTATTTCATTTGTTGTAACACTCGGTAGATTTTATATCAATCTAATCTAAGAGCTAACAAGCAAAGTATGTAAAATACGTTTCTTATCAAAAACGTTGAGATTACAAACGTAATGTAATGAGAAAAACACACCATTATCATAAATATATAAGATATATTCGCGGTAAGTGATTTATATAAGAGAATAATTCAGTAATTATTTTAAGGATAAGTCTATGAATACACAGATAATATAGAATCTAATTTAAATGGCCATCCTCTATACTTTATCGGCATTAATTGTTTAGTAAAATACAGTAATTTTCTAGAGTAACGACAGTCATCTCTTGCTGTCAAATTGTGTTATCGCTGTGATAAAAAGAAACAGCAGTACTTTAGTTAGTACGGTACAATTAATGATTTATACCTTATGAATAACGGGACAAAACTATTAAGTTTTCCCTTATAAAAAAATATAAAAAAGATGTTTTTCTCCCAATTGGATTAGGTGAACTCAAAAGCTTAATGACTGAGTACATTTGTGAGAGTTACAATTCAATTACCAAGAAACAGTCTTGCGAGTAGGTGATGGTATAGGCTATCTCTTTTCATCACAACATAAAAACTAATTGTCAGAAGGAGATGCGAGTACTCAAAACCGCTATACGACTTTTATTTACTTATTTCTAAAAGTCAGATTTGACAACCGGTGGGTTGAGGTATAGCTTATCCAAAATCCCCATAAATACACATTTGTGTCTAGTACATGAAGCCTAACGGCCTGGCCACGGGGATCAGCGGTGCGAACTGCGATGCGGGAGGCGAGGCGACCATTCGCGCGGGGCCGTTTGCAGGCCACGGACCAGTCACGTTTGCCGCCGCGACCAGTAAGGAAGTTCGACAGCGAAATGTCTTTATCGAAATCATCTCGATATTACTTGGAAAGTAATAGCTTTTGGTGCAAGACCTAATATTTGGAGAAATTGTGGAGAATTCCACAAGAAGTATGAGAAATTCAGAATATATGCAGAATTATTTTTTTGAGTATACCAGAATGAGTATTGAAACCTTCAATTATATTCTTATGAATATTCAACCAGAATTGGAGAAAAGTTAATGCAAAAAGAATTTTAAGTTCCGCTGAAAAATTGTTTTTGAGATTAAGGTATATTAAATTAATGCTGTGGATGGCCAGACTTCCAAATAGCTGGTCTAGCCAGTATTTCAGTAACAAAAAACTCTGTATTCATTTTTCGCCGCGACCACGACTAAACTTATTTATTCCCTTCTCTATTCGCCGCGACTGCCGCTCGACTCCGTGGCTTGCACCGTACTAATTCATGCATTTGTTTCGCTCGCCCGTCGCGACGTCAGTCGCCCGCGCGATTCGCTCGGTACATTTCGCCGGTCGCATCGCTGGTCGCCGTTGCGCGTGGCTTGATTAGTACATTGCTATGAGTTTATTTCAGTCGCTAGACGCATCGCGGTTCGCACCGTGCGAATATTCGCGTCGGCGAATGTCCCGTGGCCAGGCTGTTAGACCCATCCTAATTTCTCTACTTTACATCATGGCAGCTATTTAAAAATTATCTTCTGGGTCTAATTTTTTAAATATCCTTACTAAGAAGCTACTTTTTTATTTTAATTCGTGTTGGGTTTGTTACGTAAAAACGAACAGCTGGATCTATTTCTGTTGCGTCTCCAGCACGTCATAGCTCTGACGGTCAATGCTAGTCTAGTATTAATAGACATTTTATCTGATATTTCATACTATGAAAAATACAAATTTTAACTGACATGTATTTTCTAATTGTTTTGTTCTTATGTCTTATACACTGCTTGGGATGTTAACCCCTGCGCTCGTGGTTAAAAGTCTAGTTTGTAATGTTTTATTAATGCCTGAATCATTTAACTAAAGACATCGTTAAATCTGTATTACATTTGACAATTCACTTAAGTCCTTTTCATTTACAGAGTACCTCATTCATTGTCACGTTAAATTAATGCTATAATCAAAATAAACGTACGCTATTCCATTTTATGCTGACTGTACTATTCATTAAATGCTTATTATGATGACGGCAGCATAAAAGTACGTAAACAGAAATCAATGGATGACGTTTGTCGCCCACATTGGTGCCGCAAACACAATGTACAAGTTGAACAGATAATTTAATGTGTATGCTAATTTATAAAAGCAATATCTCAGTCAGTTTACGTAACATATATCGCTATAATTCACTTTCAAATTACGAACTCCTATAGAACTATATTATTAATTCAGATTTTATTATAAGGTAACATAATATTCTGTATTTCATTGGCTGCCAAGACCAGTGTACAAATCCACTTTATGAGGAAGTTGCATATTACGGCAAACGACCCCACGTGCATCAGACGTGTTCTGCCAAATGTGTGCTCCATTAGACAATTTTATATATTCAACCTTTGAGTTACACAGATCAAAAAGATACTTTATTTTTGCCTGAAATGTATTATATTATATAGGACAAAATCAAACAAATATTTACTGTTACATCGATATTTTAATTTCATCGTAATTTATGGAAGATCAATACATGATGACAAATAATTATTGAAATTAACTGACTTTTTACACTTGAACTTCAATGCTATAGGCACTCGATATAATAGATCTAGACGTGAACATTTTATAAATTAGTACGCAGATATAAAAAGACAGCTCTCAAATACACACCGTCACTAGGATTTAATATTCAAAACGATTAAAATGTTCACATTAGAAAGATCTGCATACATGGCAATGCAGTTGAGTTATTGAAAGCTAATGGAATGAAGTGTAATCAAAGCCAATATTGAATGTTATCCTAAAATGTGGGTCCAATCACTCTAGTTATATACAATGATTTTTAATGTTACATCATTAAATTTCTTATAAGTTTTAAACGCAAGTATCCCTAACAGGAACAGATTAAAGACATGACTATAGAAATAATGTTACATTAAGAATGTCTAACTGGTGTATTTATTTAAATACACCTTTTATTTAAAAGGTTGCCATCAATTAAAAAACAATTCTAAAAAACCTATGATTGTTAATTCATTAACTCTTTCCTTTTACCATATCCTGTTTATATGGCTCAAAACAAATTATCTTGAAATGTGCTAAATCATATGGAATACATTGGATTCCATTTGATTTTTTTTTCTCTTAAAAAGAATTGTAATTCATAAAAATGGCACCTTTATTTTTGCAAGCATTACATGATCTCTTGTTCTCTTCACTATTTCTTGATTTATTTAAATTTTAGACTTAACTTTCATTTGTGATTGTGACAGTATGATAAGTATACTGATAACATTGTTATATCTACTGCAGGAAATAGTGTCTATCAAATCAAATACTGCTGTTGCTATACTTTCCCTTGCTACACCTGCCCACCAGTTAGGACATCAAATTGCAGTAAAATTTAATCTAAAGTAATCTAGTACATAGGTAACTTAACTAACCTGTAAAAGATTAAAAGACAAGCAAATTGGTCAGTATTTCTACTAGTACAAGAATTTCTGAATAGATTTAATAAGTTTGATATGACTTTGGATTCAGCGTAAATTAATATTTAAACATGTTAGATGAATGTGCAAGTTAAGTAACCTTCCCAGGACCTAAACTAATGACTATTGACACATACGCGCACATACCACATGTTAAATTCACTACAAATAACTATGATATTTGTACAGCCTGGATTCAAAGTCCTACACCTAATAGCTATCAAACTGACCACTGTGCTACAAATGAAATAGCAAAACACTATTCTCTCACTAACATCACATTATACAAGATTAAATGGTTAATTATACTTTCTCTAAGACTGCCTATTCAAGGCAAAATTCATATTTTGGATTCCTGTATATCGTACAACCTAATTATATTACCTATTATTAATGTTGCTAGAATACATTCTCATATGGATGCAATATTATCACACAATTCTATTATTATCTTGTGCTTAAGTAATCAATAATAATTAAAGGTCATATCGCTATCCATGGAGAATGTTAGGAAATTTATTGCTCTTTAACTATGATGCTAATGAGAGATAGCTTTACAATGAGACATTATATGCAGCTGTGTTAATCTTCGGTTACTGTACATTCACTAATAAAAGGAACTATATAAAATTACACTTAAAATTTAAGGTCTCCTTACATCAGATCACAAACGAGCTTGGATTGCACAACTGAACACTACATACATATTATGGTAATAAATTAATCTCTTTTATCTATCTTTATTTAGTTCTCCTTAACTAAAATATCAAATGATTCAACAATACATTTTCTAAAAATAAAATCAATAACAAAAGCTCAAAATTACAATATACACCAAAACACTTCTTACTTAGGATAAAAGGGATGTGTATCACCATTTGCTTCAAATGATAATATCAAAAGCAAGTTTTGGTTACAGAAATAATTAGTGGTACCTAAACATAGAGCATACTAGCAAAACCTCACAATTCTCAAATTTAAGACTGTCTAATTAAAGTGATATCTATAACAACAATAATTAAGTAATGTCTTCTCATGTCTGACAAATCTAAAAGCAACAAGAAAACTTGCAGTACACATTGTATCCACATTAAAAAAACAATAGAAATTTTAATAAGCTAACTATCTCAATGTTAAAGGCAGACTACTAAACTGAATAAACAGCCGAAAATGAGGGCTTACATTCCTTGTGGCTAGTAACATCATAAATGATATACATAAATATCACGATAGGATAGATATATAGCCTTCTTATCAATCTGGCAGTAAGCAAATGCCACATATCAGGGATCAGTTCTATCCTCACCAATTTTAACAATTCAGATGTCAACATTGGGCACAAAAGTTTATATTCACCCAAAGCTTTTGCTAAGAGATGTTCACCATTCTCCATGACTAAAGTCAAGGAAGGTTCACTAAAACATAACACCTACTCACGGTATTTTCCGCGCGCAGGCTCCAATAGGGCGCTCAGAATTCAGCAAATTCCTTCGCGCACTTCTCAGTTGACGAAATGCGAAGAGCCTCTTCTTCATAATCATCAAAGTTGCTGGTGTCCCCAGGACCCTTGCAGCGTGGGATGAAAGGTGCCTCAATCTTCTTTTGGAAGACAGCTATCCAATCAGTGCTAGCAAACCATTTGTGACCTTTAATGTCATTTACGCCCGCTTTTAGATTTCCATAGCGTTTCGTCAAATCTACTTGGAGAAGGTTGCGCAACAAGTCTTTCAAATCAGAGCCAAAGTGTGATGGAAAGCGAACTTTGCCAGACACAATTTTTTCGTAGATTTGAATCGGCTGGTCTGCAAAGAAGGGCGGATATCCAGCTGCCATCTCATATACAAGTACCCCAAGTGCCCACCAGTCAACAGCTTTGTTATAACCTTTGGACAGAATGATTTCTGGAGCCAGATACTCAGGTGTTCCACATAGAGTCCACGTACGACCTTTCACGCGCTTCGCAAAGCCGAAATCAGTTACTTTTAAATAGCCTTGCGAATCAATTAACAAGTTTTCAGGCTTCAGATCACGGTAGATGAGGTCCAAATAGTGTAGATACTCGAACGCTAGGACTATCTGAGCCGCATAGAATCGAGAATGTGGCTCCGAAAAGCGACCTACCTTACGCAGGTGGGAGAACATTTCACCACCAGGCACGTATTCTAAAACCATATACAAGTTGGAGTTGTCCTTGAAATGGAACTTAAGGCTCACCAAAAACGGAAAATTTATAGCTTGCAGAATTCGTTTTCGTTCAGCGTATGTTCTACCTGTTTTAGTTTTACGACCTTCTGCTTATCTAATATTTTCATAGCATAATACTCTTTCGTAGGTTTATGCTGAACTATCATAACTCGCCCGAATGAGCCTGTTCCGAGCGTTTTTATTCTTTCAAAGTCGTTCAATCCGGCGGTGTTGGTAGGATTCTTCTTCCATTTCTCCTCGAAATCCTCTTTGGCCTGATCGAGGAATTCTTTGACGCTTTCGGCGGCGTCCACCTTTTTGTTAGCGGTGGCAGCATTGTTGCCCATGGCGCAAACCAGAACTTATTTCAATTGCCGTTATACAGGCTACCTTGTACTAATCGATCCCTGCCTGAGCGAACGTAAGAAATAGGCAGGTCAACACAAACCAATTTGAAACACAGACATTCTTTACGTTCCTTGCACATACACACGTCACAAAAGACACTTATAACAGGCACTCATTGAAATAATTACGTTTTAAAAGTTTAAACTCGAAATCTGAGTAAAATTTTTCGTCACATTCACAAGAAATAAAATGGCTTCCTCAGAAACTCGATCGACAGAGCGAGAGCGAACGAACGATTCATTCGCTCACGAGAGGCGGTCAATTATGAAAATGTTGCCACTTTATATTTATGAAAACTACTATTTCCATTTCTACTAATATATTTTAATCTAAAAAGAACACAAAAGCAAAAGAAAAAAGCTTAATTAAAAATAAAACAATTTGTATTTGAATTTAATCATACAACCGGAAAGATTTGATTTTGGTATTTTTTTTTGTAATAGATAAATTCAAAACTACAACACAATTATTTCGCCTTTAGAAATCTTTTGATAACATGACTTAGTATCATATTTTAGATTTATTGCTGCCTAAAACTATTTTTAAATAAAAAAATGTAAACTATTTAATGGCTTAAAATTTTTGGTCATGAGTAAAAATGTTGGGGACTCCCCAGTACCAGCTCCACGTCACCGAAGTCAACTGAGAGTGGTTTGAATCCAATCACTTTCCGAGCGACTATCCTTTGGCGTAGTGTAGAGATATGGGGTTTCTCTGCATCATCTACCACATTAACCGTGGAGAGTGTTCAGAGGAATTGTTTGTATTAATACCTGCAGGTGAGTTTGGAATGAATCATCGAACGTCGAACGAGACAAATCCACTTTATGAGGAAGTTGCATATTACGGCAAACGACCCCACGTGCATCAGACGTGTTCTCCCTTAAATGTATGCTCCATTAGACAATTTTATATATTTAACCTTTGAGTTACACAGATCAAAAAGATACTTTATATTTGCCTGACAGTATATTATATTATATAGACAAAATCAAACAAATATTTACTGTTACATCGATATTTTGACTTTCATCGTAATTTTGGGAAGATCAATACATGATGACAAATAATTATTGAAATTAACTGACTTTTACACTTGAACTTCAATGCTATAGGCACTCAATATAATAGAACTAGACGTGAACATTTGCTAATTTATTGCTGCAGATATAAAAAGACAGCTCTCAAAGGTCCGTCACTAGGATTTAATATTCAAAACGATTAAAATGTTCACATTAGAAAGATCTGCATACAGGCAATGAGTTATTTTTGAAAGCTAATGGAATGAAGTGTAATCAAAGCCAATATTTAATGTTATACTAAAATGTGGGTCCAATCACTCTAGTTATATACAATGATTTTTAATGTTACATGATTAAATTTCTTATAAGTTTTTAAGGCGCAAGTAACAGGAACAGATTAAAAGACATGACTATAGGAATAATGTTACATTAAGAATGTCTAACTGGTGTATTTAAATAAATTCACCTTTTAAATAAAGGTTGCCATCAATTAAAAAACAATTCTAAAAACCTATGATTGTTAATTCATTAACTCTTTCCTTTTACCATATCCTGTTTATATGGCTCAAAACAAATTATCTTGAATGTGCTAAATCATGTGAATACATTGGATTCCATTTGATTTTTTTCTCTTAAAAAGAATTGTAATTCATAAAAATGGCACCTTTATTTTGCAAGCATTACATGATCTCTTGTTCTCTTCACTATTTCTTGATTTATTTAAATTTTAGACTTAACTTTCATTTTGATTGTGACAGTATGATAAGTATAATGGATACATTGTTATATCTACTGCAGGAAATAGCGTCTATCAAATCTAAATACTGTTTGCTATACTTTCCTTGCTACACCTGCCCACCAGTTAGGACATCAAATTGCAGTAAAATTTAATCTAAAGTAATCTAGTACACTAGGTAACTTAACTAACCTGTAAAAGATTAAAAGACAAGTAAAATTGGTCAGTATTTCTACTAGTACAAGAATTTCTGAATAGATTAATAAGTTTGATATGACTTTGGATTCAGCTTGAAATTAATATTTAAACATGTTAGATGAATGTACAAGTTAAGTAACCTTCCCAGGACCTAAACTAATGACTATTGACACATACGCGCACATACCACATGTTAAATTCACTACAAATAACTATAATATTTGTACAGCCTGGATTCAAAGTCCTACACCTAATAGCTATCAAACTGACCACTGTGCTACAAATGAAATAGCAAAACACTATTCTCTCACTAACATCACATTATACAAGATTAAATGGTTAATTATACTTTCTCTAAGACTGCCTATTCAAGGCAAAATTCATATTTTGGATTCCTGTATATCGTACAACCTAATTATATTACCTATTATTAATGTTGCTAGAATACATTCTCATATGGATGCAATATTATCACACAATTCTATTATTATCTTGTGGCTTAAGTAATCAATAATAATTAAAGGTCATATCGCTATCCATGGAGAATGTTAGGAAATTTATTGCTCTTTAACTATGATGCTAATGAGAGATAGCTTTACAATGAGACATTATATGCAGCTGTGTTAATCTTCGGTTACTGTACATTCACTAATAAAAGGAACTATATAAAATTACACTTAAAATTTAAGGTCTCCTTACATCAGATCACAAACGAGCTTGGATTGCACAACTGAACACTACATACATATTATGGTAATAAATTAATCTCTTTTATCTATCTTTATTTAGTTCTCCTTAACTAAAATATCAAATGATTCAACAATACATTTTCTAAAAATAAAATCAATAACAAAAGCTCAAAATTACAATATACACCAAAACACTTCTTACTTAGGATAAAAGGGATGTGTATCACCATTTGCTTCAAATGATAATATCAAAAGCAAGTTTTGGTTACAGAAATAATTAGTGGTACCTAAACATAGAGCATACTAGCAAAACCTCACAATTCTCAAATTTAAGACTGTCTAATTAAAGTGATATCTATAACAACAATAATTAAGTAATGTCTTCTCATGTCTGACAAATCTAAAAGCAACAAGAAAACTTGCAGTACACATTGTATCCACATTAAAAAAACAATAGAAATTTTAATAAGCTAACTATCTCAATGTTAAAGGCAGACTACTAAACTGAATAAACAGCCGAAAATGAGGGCTTACATTCCTTGTGGCTAGTAACATCATAAATGATATACATAAATATCACGATAGGATAGATATATAGCCTTCTTATCAATCTGGCAGTAAGCAAATGCCACATATCAGGGATCAGTTCTATCCTCACCAATTTTAACAATTCAGATGTCAACATTGGGCACAAAAAGTTTATATTCACCCAAAGCTTTTGCTAAGAGATGTTCACCATTCTCCATGACTAAAGTCAAGGAAGGTTCACTAAAACATAACACCTACTCACGGTATTTTCCGCGCGCAGGCTCCAATAGGGCGCTCAGAATTCAGCAAATTCCTTCGCGCACTTCTCAGTTGACGAAATGCGAAGAGCCTCTTCTTCATAATCATCAAAGTTGCTGGTGTCCCCAGGACCCTTGCAGCGTGGGATGAAAGGTGCCTCAATCTTCTTTTGGAAGACAGCTATCCAATCAGTGCTAGCAAACCATTTGTGACCTTTAATGTCATTTACGCCCGCTTTTAGATTTCCATAGCGTTTCGTCAAATCTACTTGGAGAAGGTTGCGCAACAAGTCTTTCAAATCAGAGCCAAAGTGTGATGGAAAGCGAACTTTGCCAGACACAATTTTTTCGTAGATTTGAATCGGCTGGTCTGCAAAGAAGGGCGGATATCCAGCTGCCATCTCATATACAAGTACCCCAAGTGCCCACCAGTCAACAGCTTTGTTATAACCTTTGGACAGAATGATTTCTGGAGCCAGATACTCAGGTGTTCCACATAGAGTCCACGTACGACCTTTCACGCGCTTCGCAAAGCCGAAATCAGTTACTTTTAAATAGCCTTGCGAATCAATTAACAAGTTTTCAGGCTTCAGATCACGGTAGATGAGGTCCAAATAGTGTAGATACTCGAACGCTAGGACTATCTGAGCCGCATAGAATCGAGAATGTGGCTCCGAAAAGCGACCTACCTTACGCAGGTGGGAGAACATTTCACCACCAGGCACGTATTCTAAAACCATATACAAGTTGGAGTTGTCCTTGAAATGGAACTTAAGGCTCACCAAAAACGGAAAATTTATAGCTTGCAGAATTCGTTTTTCGTTCAGCGTATGTTCTACCTGTTTTAGTTTTACGACCTTCTGCTTATCTAATATTTTCATAGCATAATACTCTTTCGTAGGTTTATGCTGAACTATCATAACTCGCCCGAATGAGCCTGTTCCGAGCGTTTTTATTCTTTCAAAGTCGTTCAATCCGGCGGTGTTGGTAGGATTCTTCTTCCATTTCTCCTCGAAATCCTCTTTGGCCTGATCGAGGAATTCTTTGACGCTTTCGGCGGCGTCCACCTTTTTGTTAGCGGTGGCAGCATTGTTGCCCATGGCGCAAACCAGAACTTATTTCAATTGCCGTTATACAGGCTACCTTGTACTAATCGATCCCTGCCTGAGCGAACGTAAGAAATAGGCAGGTCAACACAAACCAATTTGAAACACAGACATTCTTTACGTTCCTTGCACATACACACGTCACAAAAGACACTTATAACAGGCACTCATTGAAATAATTACGTTTTAAAAGTTTAAACTCGAAATCTGAGTAAAATTTTTCGTCACATTCACAAGAAATAAAATGGCTTCCTCAGAAACTCGATCGACAGAGCGAGAGCGAACGAACGATTCATTCGCTCACGAGAGGCGGTCAATTATGAAAATGTTGCCACTTTATATTTATGAAAACTACTATTTCCATTTCTACTAATATATTTTAATCTAAAAAGAACACAAAAGCAAAAGAAAAAAGCTTAATTAAAAATAAAACAATTTGTATTTGAATTTAATCATACAACCGGAAAGATTTGATTTTGGTATTTTTTTTTGTAATAGATAAATTCAAAACTACAACACAATTATTTCGCCTTTAGAAATCTTTTGATAACATGACTTAGTATCATATTTTAGATTTATTGCTGCCTAAAACTATTTTTAAATAAAAAAATGTAAACTATTTAATGGCTTAAAATTTTTGGTCATGAGTAAAAATGTTGGGGACTCCCCAGTACCAGCTCCACGTCACCGAAGTCAACTGAGAGTGGTTTGAATCCAATCACTTTCCGAGCGACTATCCTTTGGCGTAGTGTAGAGATATGGGGTTTCTCTGCATCATCTACCACATTAACCGTGGAGAGTGTTCAGAGGAATTGTTTGTATTAATACCTGCAGGTGAGTTTGGAATGAATCATCGAACGTCGAACGAGAATACTAAATTCCACGTCCGCCGTTCCACAAATTAGATAAATAACGATTTAAGGTAGTTTTTGCCACGCTAGGTGCGTTTATGTGCATTATGTGGTATGGTGGTATAGCTGTCCAAAAAACCAATTATTAGCTATTTTATACTATTTTTTTTTTAAATAACTGTTTCTGGCGCGTGGAAGTGGTTGGGGGTTATTATTATAAAACTTTAAAGTTCAAAAATTAGGAAATAATTGATGAATATAAAAAATTCTATTATTGAAGTTATACTTCTTTAAGCGCGTTATGAAAAATTGATGAGAGTGAAATTTCTCGATGCGCGCGCATCGTGACACAAAATTAACAGAATGAAGTTGCCCACGGAAGATGCTACGGCATTGGACATAATTTAAAAACAACATACGAATAATAATAGAATTTATGTTACGCTTAATGTAAGAGAATAATAATAAATATTTATTTATTTAATTTTTCAAATGTAAACTGAACACTATTGACTATAATGACATCTTTTCCAGTCTTTGATTATTTAATTGTAAGTAATTATTTGCATGCAATCAAAAACTATTTTTAATAATGCCAAAGAAGTATAACTTCTTACGCGCGTACATAAGTACACGCACCCGCTCGGGTTGGATAATGGATTGGCTTGGCTTGGCTTAAAGTAGACAATTATTGGTTTAAACTACTATTTACTACCAAAGTAATAAATTTTACTGCTGGCAACTTATTAAAATTCTCTCGTTAAACTAAATAGATGGCGCATTTTACGTATTATTAAGTATGAAATAATTCCATTTTTTCTTTTTAAACAGTTCTGTCCAACAACTCTGTTAATAAATATACTATATTGTACTATGTATTAACAATTGAGCATGTGTGTCTCTGCGTGTTTAATAATAATATATAACTGAAAATATTATATTTTGTGTTTATATGGTATAGCGACATCTATTCCATTAAAACATAACTAGGTAAACCTAGATGCAGCGATAAAAAGATAAAAATTTAGTGAAGTTAGAAGTGATTTAAAAAACAAGACAAATGTAACCCAAAGGAAACGAGAATTGTTAAATTACAACAAACAATATAAAGCACTCGTTTTATCTTTCCCAAATTTTTACGTAGAAAGGAGACAAGACTTCTTCTACAACTTACAAATAAAAAAAATATCGAATATGATTTACAAGCAGATACAATCCTATCGTTACATTCTCACACAAAATCCCGCCTAAAGCTGAAATCACAAGGTCACAGAAATCGTTTGCAGTTAGTGTAAAAATATTTAACATTATGCCCAATCAAAGTTGGTATCTATAATATATCTGTCGTAAATACCTAAATTAAAGTCAATTTGATCTCAAATAACCTATCATAGAGTACATATAGGATATGTAACCTATTATGAAGTGCCCTAGCATATTATGTTTAATATTTTAAGATTTAGCCGTTTAGATCATGTCCAAACAAAAATTTTAAGACCATTTTGTTTTTCCGCTCCAATTTTGATAAATATTTAGTTACTTACCTAAAACCCACTCAGAATATTATTATCAAAGAAGATGGTCACCGGACCGAGTAGCGACGACGCGCACACAGCGAAAATAATGTTACAAAAGATTATTTTAAACAATACCGTATTCCATGGAGATAAGGTCTACAATTTTGTTATGAGTACAAAATTACTTAGAAAAAGGTAGTAAGTAGGTCGTTGACTTCAAAAAATCTTGGCTTATGATGGTAAAGAGGTATTATTAAATTTCCCGAAATATAAGTTGTTTCTTACAAAAAATAAAGAACCTCAGCCACGCTAGGTCAAATCTAGGAACAAAAATGTTTAAAGCCAATTCGATTATTATTGTATATTATTAAGGAGTCTAGCTGTTAGCCAGGTACAATTTTACCTACCTGTTTTAATATTGACTCTTGACCCATTTTTCATAGATTTACAAAATAATACCTATTGTGGTAGGGAAAATAAAAATTATCGAAGTACATACTTCGATTGTATAGGTATTAATTACGTAGGTATACCTTTTTGCAGTTGATAGTAGTATTTGTGAACCATTCATACTTCATAGTATTAAAACGTAGTAACTAGTTATTTAGCTAAGTAGGTATATCATTAAAGAAGTTTAAATAGCATAGGTTTTAGTTTTTATACACCTATTTATAAAACGACTTTTCATGTAAATTTATAGGTGATAAACACTCATTGAAATTTTATGATAAATTAATTATTACTTGATTCACTTGATCAATGAAGAATAAAGTAATACCTATATAATATGTATATTCAGTATAGATAACCCAACTCAAGTCCCATTAAAATCGAAAATTTAAAAAATTTCAACAGGAGTAGACTGAGAAAGGTAGACTACTACCTCTTGCTCACCTCCATTAATTCAAGGTTGTTTAAGTGGAACAAGCATATTGTTAGCTATCCTTTTCCATCGCATAGCGTCCTCTTATAGATATCTCATAAACGAAGTTGGCGCGAAACCGTACGCGTATGCGAAACGTTGCGACCAAAATTTTCTTCCTTCCTCCTTCATTTGATCGTCGGTGTTTGTTGCGTGCGGTGATCGTTATTGTGCAAAGTGCGGAGCACGTGCTAAAGCATTTCATCAATTACTAATTTATTTTAAATTTATTAAAATAAATATGGCAGACGCAGCTGTAGACAAAAAGTAAGTTTTTAAATTTTTGTGTTCTGTTTTATATTTAAAATACACAGTTTTGGCGGCTTGTAAACGTGACCAAAATGGCTACCTTAATAATTTTCTTATAGTTGTAGGTATGGATAGATTTGCTTGTCTAAATATAACATATTAATAACAGTATAAAAGAGATACGTGCTTTTGTGTATTTATATTTTAAAATCTTAGTTTATGACTAACTTACAACACGCGGGAAAGTTGAAAGTCATAAATATAAGTATGTTAAGTAATTATAGTGTAGTGCGTTGAATTGTATTAGTAGATAAATGTGTTCAGCACATTTTAGCATTCAAGGCAAGGTTCTAGAAGGTTTAATTGCACGGGAAAATTGAAAGCACGCCGCGGCCGGTGCGTCGGTTCCAAGATGGCGCGGGCTGCGCAGCGTTCCGGCGCGGTAGCGTCACCGAAGCGCCGAACGCGCCCGTTTCAAATTTATGAATATGTACCTACTAGAATTTTGCAACATTGGAGTTACGTTATCGCGAGGGCAATATGTTGTCATAAGTTATTTTTAACGCTTTTCATTCGTCTTAAACAAATCTAGTACAGCAAGAAACTTATTCATTCAACAATTATTACACTTACGTTCATTTTCCTTGCAACTTTCCCACATTTAGCCTTGCGCAACAACTGCCTAGCTGTTTTTGTTACAAGTGCTTACAACCTTGCTTCCTGTTCTGTAGTATTAAGTCGGTCGATGCGTTAACTGCATATTTCTAGTTGCAACTAGTCAACTACGCGACTGACTGAATAATACATCCGTTTTAAAGTGATATGCCGTAAAATTGTTAATACAGTCAGTTGTTTAGCGCGAAGATAAATAAAAAATTGTAAGACAAAACAAGCAAATAATTTTTGCTAATGGGCAATCAAACCGAGATGTAACCCACCACACGCTTAAATTCAAGCTAATAAATTATTATTTTTACAGAGAAATCGCCCCCGAGGAGGTTACCTCAACGGAGGTAAAAGAATCTCCAGTTAAAAAATCTCCCGCCAAAAAGGTTGTTGTAGAGGAAAAACCAGAAAGTAACGGCAAGGAGGAGAACGGCAGTGGAGATGCCCCCGAGGAAACCCCTGCCGAGAATGGTGACGACAGCAACGATGCCGTTGAAAATGGTGATGCTGAAGGTATTTTCTCACTTCAAACTATGTATTACCTATTTTCATTTGGAATTTTATATCTAATGAAAAGTGAAATATCCACGAGTTAGTTGAAATATTGAAATTTATCAAACATTTACAGAGACAGAAAAGAAAGACGCCGGTGTAAAGAGGAAATCTACTGCTGCCGACAACGGTGACGTCACAGAAAAGACGACGCCGGAAAAGAAACAGAAGGTTGCAGAAGAAGCACCTCCCGCTGAAGCGGAGGCCTAAACCTTTTATCCTGCTTGGTTTACTGCAATGCATCTTGTTCATTAGGGCCCAACTCTTCTTACCTTGTACTTCTACAAAACCATAGATACCTATTTTGTACTCCCTTTTACAAGAGTTGTGCTCTATGGACACTACTAAGGTTTAATTACAATTAAACTTACCTGTGAAATGTACCTGTAAAGTGTAAATTTATGTTTGGGTTGTGCATCGCAGTGAACTGAACTTTGAATTGAATTCGGTGTTGTATGCTGTTCTGCGTGACTCGCCATGGGTTTTAAGTTAAATCGGTCATAACAGTCTGCCAGTACTGCCAAAGGATTCACCTCGGTGAGATCATTCGATCCGTTCTGTGAACGACGCGTTAAACAGCTTCCGAAATACAAGGTTTAGATAAACTAAGATTTAAATTTAGATAATTCGTTTGTAAATTTAAGTTAGCAGTAAAATGTCGCACATTAATTAATAGGCATTAATACTTAACAGTAAAACATTCCTTGACTACCAATTGTGTTGTGAAATTGTAGTTGCTGAATTAGTATTTTCTCATTTAACAATTAAAAATACGTTTTATTTTCTTATGAATTTATTTCGAGACATTCTTCGACGTGAAGATGGCGGTGCCTGCTTTCACTTGTCTAAATCAGTTTTCTATACCATTTTCACATTTATGACGTAATAATTGTAAGTTACGAAGTTCAAAGTTGACGTATAAGGTGATAGTTATTGACATACTAATACTGTGTGCTATTTTTTGTACTTCTTATGGGTCTTACCATATTTTTTTATTTATTTTGCTTTGATAAATATGTGATAGAAAACTTCGAATATAAGATCTTTATCTATTCCGATACAGATTGTAAGGAATTATTGACTAACTTTAAATGTTTCTGGCAATAAATAGTTCAATCTAAACTATTTGTTTTAATTATTTTTAAGACTTAATAAAAACTTAAGGAGGTTCATCAACTCTACGTGTAAAGTTTTTTTTTTATCCCAAGTAAATTTTTAATATCATTGCGTTTAAATTATTATTTATTAAAATCAAAATTATTTTTTACCAATTATTATTATAAATGGTCACAATATTTTATAATGTTCAAAAGGCACGATCAATGACTTAATAGTTATTCTAAATGGCACATCGATGATTAATGTAATTGATAAATATTAACATAGCAACAATTTCATAATAATGTCGACTTGTTTGCTATTAAAGTGAAGCGTAAAACCCATCAATTACTAAGGGTGAATCAAGGCCGGACGTAGCCGTGGTTACTAGCACAATACACAGTCCCCCTATGTCTATCAGTGCTCTTCTGATAATCACATGGGAAACTCGAAATTCAAACATGCTACTGTTTTTAACATTTATCCAAACTATATTTCATTATTCGTTTTCACAAACGACTCAGAATATCAACGTTTGTAAGTAACGGTACTTAATTCAAATCGTTTTACATGGTTGCGCATACGTGATCTAACTGCTTAAATTTCAGTATTAATTAACGAAGAAAATAATGCTTTGGCCGAGAAATCTTTTGAAGTAGCTAAGGAGTATGTTAGGAGAAATCCTAGTTTGGGACTTGCCGTCGATCCTATTATTGTGGTCGGTAACCGGACTGATGCTAAGGCGTTTTTAGAAAATGGTAAGCATTTGATGCGACGTGCTAATTTATTTCCGAGTTTATTATACTCGCACGTTTGCTGTCGCGGCAGACATTGATATTTAAAATAACCATTTTACAGGAAACACGTTTATCGCCTTAGCAAGGTCAAATAAGCGTAACTATTTTCAGGTTAATTTAATTATATCTGATGTTTCAGTTTGTAGAAAATATACAGACATGGTGTCAGGAAAAAAACCACCACACGTCGTGCTTGATTTCACAACGACTGGAGTCGGGTCAGAGACTATTAAATCATTTACTTCAGCGCTAGGTTTGCCTACTATTTCTGGATCTTTTGGCCAAGAAGGTGACCTGCGACAGTGGCGAGGTCTAACCTCTAACCAAACACAGTACCTGTTGCAAGTAATGCCACCGGCGGATCTCCTTCCTGAATCAATACGTGCTATTGTTACGAAGCAAGGCATAACGAACGCCGCAATTATTTTCGACGAATTTTTTGGTTGGTAACAGATAATATATTACCATTAAACAGCTGTTGGTCGTTGACCTGTTTTAATCGTGACGCATTCTTTGCAGTGATGGATCACAAATACAAGTCTCTTTTACAAAATATTCCGACTCGTCACGTGATAACACCCGTTAAAAGTTTTAGTAAAGATGAGATTAAAACGCAACTTCGAAGTCTCCGAGAACTTGACATTGTTAACTTTTTCGTTATCGGCAGCTTAAGAACTATTAAAAACGTGCTGGATGCTGCTAATGAGAATCAGTACTTTGGTAGAAAAACCGCTTGGTTTGCACTCAGTTTAGACAAGGGCGATATAAGTTGTGGTTGCAAGGATGCTACTATTGTTTACATGAAGCCCACTCCAGATGCAAAGAGTAGGGATCGATTAGGAAAAGTTAAAACTACTTACAGCATGAATGGAGAGCCAGAGATTACATCTGCGTTCTATTTTGATCTGTCCCTACGAACATTTTTATCAATCAAGTAATAAGTTTTTTACTATACGAATGTGCGTTCTAAATTTATAATTTTAAAACAAACGTGCAATGTAGGACATCTAATTATAGCTCGGGATTTTCCGTGAGAATATGCGTTTTATTAATTTCCAGATCACTACTTGACTCTGGCAAGTGGCCAAACGACATGAAATACATGAGCTGTGATGACTATGACGGTAAAAACACCCCCACAAGGACGCTAGATTTAAAAACTGCATTTCAAGAAGTACGTGTACCTTCACAATTCAATTAAGGGTTGAAAACAAACGTTTCGTTTATAAAGACTACTTTACAGGTAAAAGAAACACCAACGTACGCGCCGTTTTTTATTCCCGAAGATGGTTCAATGAACGGCAGAAGTTACATGGAGTTTACCACAGATTTATCAGCCGTGACGATAAAAGATGGTGCCTCGATAGGCAGCAAACCGTTAGGATCCTGGAAGGCCGGTCTTTCAAATCCCTTAACATTAACCGATCCAGAAAATATGACCGACTATTCCGCCCAACTGGTGTACAGGATTGTAACTCTTGTGGTATGGAGGATTATTACAATTGAATTATACTTAAAATTTACGTACCTAGCATATAGCAATATTCGTTTGTTTTTAAACAACTGTGTAAATAACGTCTTTATAAGCATAGGCGCTATCGTTCGTTGACATTTAACTTATCTTATGGAATGTCCAAAATTCTCTAAAGCAAGAATTTAATCAACGAATCTTTGTATAAAATTCTGGATTTGTGGTTATTGTTAACTGTTCCATGGGCAATTACTTTTGCAAGTACATTGTTACCGATTAATTTAGATTGAGATCTTGATGTTGGTTTAACATTTGATTATGATTAGCAATGTTATAATTTTAGCAAGACCCATTTATAATACTGGATGAGGATGCACCAAAAGGCTTTAAGGGTTATTGTATAGATTTGATAGAGGAAATAAGAAAGATAGTTAAATTCGATTACGAAATAACACTCGTACCAGACGGAAGCTTCGGAAATATGGACGAAAATGGGAATTGGAATGGAATTGTCAAGGAATTAATGGAAAAGAGGGCAGACATAGGACTGTCTTCTTTATCAGTAATGGCGGAGAGGGAGAACGTGGTGGACTTTACGGTGCCATATTACGATTTGGTTGGAATCACTATTTTGATGAAGTTGCCGCGAACGCCGACATCATTGTTCAAATTCTTAACCGTTCTAGAGAATGATGTGTGGTTTTCTATTCTCGCCGCTTATTTCTTTACAAGGTATGGCATTAATTTATTAAATGCACTTATTTATAGAATAGCTCGACCGTGAGAGATAGAGTGATAATGAATGTGTTATCCGCTTTAACTTTTTAATTGGATAGGTGTGTATCAATTACATACACATGGAATTCTTTTATTATGAGAGCGAAAGTTGGTTATGACGCAAAATTTTCAGTACCCATTGGTTTAGCTGTGAACTATTTCTCTAAGTTATAGACCCAGAAAAATATATCAAAAATATAAACATCGACTACATCTACAATAGAATTGGGATCTAAATGGGTGCCAAGTCATACAGACCAAGCATAAATATATGGAAGAAAATGTAGGTCAAAATTTTTTACATCGTTGCTCGACCTTAAAAACTCGAAAAAAAGGTTTACAATTAGAAACTTGACTTGCAAATGCTCTGTGGTCTGTGTAGCTCTGTGGTTCACTTTCCATAATAATAATCCATCGTTTTAAAATAACAAATCGTAATGCATCAATATAAGCTACATCCTTTAAATTCTGCTCTAAATAGTCCTTTGACCTTTGCGATCAGACAAATAGCTAAAATAGTGAATAGGTCAATCTAAATTGCATTGAGAACCCGTTTGTTGGTACTACGTGAGCCCGCGACGCATACAATTCTATTGCTTATGGCCCGGGAATCTAAGACAATGATTGAACACATTTTTGTGTACAACAATTACGCATTTTCTAATCTACTTAATATATTATCTGTCCTTTAAGAGTTGATGGTATACTACTTTTAACAATATTAAATAATTACTCGAAATGTTAGTGAATTGGTATGCCGTAGCTCGTATTAAGGTGAATTTGACAATGCACAGCATTTTAGACTTATGTTTTTCAATTTCTTTGGTGGTCGAGGTAAACCCACTATGCACCGATTAGTTTAAAAAGCATATAAGATTGCAATAATTGTCGATATACTTCTTTTAATATAAAATCACAATAAAAAAAAAATATTAAGAATTTCTTTCACAAAATCACTGACTCATTTTCATCCCATGGCGATTAAAATATCTATATATTATTAGTATTAAAACCCCGGAAATACCTATTACAATTTAAAAGAACCCGCGACAACCTTCGATGACGTCATTAAAGTGAATTATCGTGGTTAACAAAAAGAATATCAAATTCCTTTCATGTTTGCTTCCACGGCTGTGCTCCATTGCAATATAATATAATTTGTTTATTGTATATTAAGAGCGACACATTTATTTTGTATATATGTAGCGTAAAAAAAGACTTTTTTTACTTTAGTAACGTTATTACGCATTTGTAACCAAAAATTTAACATCGAATGAAAAATAATTTTTAATACCAAATTCTGAACGAAAAGTAGATTATTATTTTAAAGCGCAGAGTATGTACTTTTCAGATATATAAAAATATAAGCTGAAATGCTATTATGAATCTTTTTGTTTAAGTAATATACGTAGTAGGATACGGTTTGTTTTTACAAATTTTCACAAAACCGTTTATTATTTACATGTTAATGTGATTTCGTAAGCGTTAACATTCGTTTGTAAGACTCGGAGCATTAAATATTTTACTTTAGTCATTATTCAAGTCTTATTTATTTAGTCAAACGAATTAAGTAAGTAAAAGGACGATTTTGTATAGAACCAGTGGTATATATACAGTAACGTGGTGGTCCCAGGTCCCATGTCAGAGATGGGACAGGGACGGCCTTGCTGATAGTTTTCGTATAAAATTATAGTTACAAGTAACGAAACTTATGAATATTTGTGTAGCGTTTATAAATCAATAAAACGACCATAGATTATGTATCATCGAATTCATAGTCTGTGACATTGTTACCGACAGGTTTATTATTTACCTGTGGCGCGTGTAATCATGGGAAATGTCATGGAAATGGGGCAGTCTCCATCAGATAAATAAACGGATCGATGTTTTATGTAGGCTAGCTGTATTTCTTATTTTCATAGAAATGAGGTCACGGCACTATAATTAATGTTAAAGTTAAATATAACTTACATACTCGTTACGTTACATATAACAAATCACCCGCGTGAATTTTTAAATCTTTTTAACCGCTCTTGAAGCAACATAGTATTATCATCAGTCTCTATCTATTGTTTCTTATTAAAGAAATATAGATATAGCATGTGCTAATGTTGTATATAATACGGATGATGGCATTATTTAAACAACATAAAAAAATAACTTGCTATAATAATCTATTATTATCAATAATTTTAGCGCAGTTAGTAACAATTTCGGAAAATGGAAAATTTTATAATCTCATTCACGTTAAGAGACCTATCTGTAACTGTCCGTTCATAGGTTGTTTAACACGTTCACTGCGTAACAGGCCGATATCAGCCTGCCGCGGTATTAAGCTGGTGCGGACGAAGAAATCTATGTCCCTCTCGCTGGTGCGTAACGATTATCTCAGGTGTTTGTAAAAATTCGACAGGGACAAATATATATTTCATCTTGCGGTCAAAATTGTAGGTTTTCCCCATCAAAACATAACGGCAGGCTTTTATCGACCTACCACGCACTGACGCTGCTGTGCATCCGCTGAGTGCGGCAGTGGGCCTATTTCAGCCCGCCCTCCCAACAGGCAGCTGGCGACCCGGCTATAGCAATTTAATCTATCCTAGCGCTGTTGGGTCTAGAAAGACCTGCCACGCACCGGCGGAAATATCATTGGGGGCGCATATTGGCCCGCCGCCGCACCTGATGAAAAATTATGATTTTACTTGCCGCAGTGAACGTGTTAATACTTAATAAAAATGTTTTCCCTATACGAGCCTTTAAACAAGTTTGTAATTTTGGATAGAGTAGTTAGAATTAGCTCCAATGATTGATTATTTCTTTAATCTTATCGGTAAGGGACTATCGATATCGATAAACACTACATTATAATAAACTAGATTGCCCGCAACTAATAAGAGTATGATAGATTGGGCTTGAGACAATTTCACTTTACGATAGGCGTGACTCACTAACGCTAAAAAATAAAAATTACATTAGCTCACGCTTTGTCACGTGACAGGGGCTTGAGACAAAATCACGCTTCGATAGGCGTGACCCACCATCTACAGGAATTTGAGTAAGAATGACATTAGCTAGTTCAGATTTTAATTTGGGACATGCGTCATTAAATCATTCTACTATATTTTTAATTAATTGCCGGTTTGGTGGCGCTAGATTTGCTTGGCTCGCAGATTCCATTACTTGGCATAAATGTCCCATACAAGTCAGACTTCGAGCATTCGCAAAATGGATTTGATATACGGTATTATTTAGAAAATGCTTGGAAATTTACATTCTTAAGAAAACGTTCTTAGGTCACGAATCTTAGGTCTTTATTAGGAGCGCTGTCAGGTATGTCAAACTTCACACAGAACTTGGCTTGACAGTTCTTTAAACTAGGTTTAAGTTTGACGTTCTAGAAAACGGGGCTTAGATTACTACTACCATTGTAGTACCACTGACGGCATAATCTATGTAATAAAGTAATATTTAACGGTGAAGTAAATTCCTGTTCATGCTGGAGCTGCTTATCGGAACAAAATAATTCATAAAACAGAAATGTATTTCTCAAGACCTTTTTTTTTAAATTTTATGTAATAGAAGGCAAACGGGCAGGAGGCTCACCTGATGTTAAGTGATGCCGCCGCCCATGGACACTCACATTGCCAGAAGGCTCGCAAGTATTTTGGATTTTGCCTTGACGTCCGATGATGAAACTCAGCTGCAGGTATAAGACCGAACAACTCCTCTGAACACTGTCCATGGTAAATGCGGTAGTAGATGCAGAGAGACCCCACATCTCTATGCAACACCAAGGGATCAAGCCGCACGGAAAGTGACTGGTCGTCTACGATTCGAACCGCTCTTCGTTGAATATTATAATATTTTAGTTAAGTAATATTGTACCTAGGTCCTTGCTCGTCTTTCTTTGGTACTGTGTTGTCTGTAGATCTTTAATGTTTCTAACTAGATAATTCGATAAATTCTAACTAAATATCATTTCAATTGTCACATAACACGGAACTAAAAGACATAGGCTTCGTAAACTGTTTTATAGACGTATAAAGGGCAAAATTAGAACCGTAAACGCAATAATCCTTATTTTTCTGGATATTATTGATCCGATTTCGCTACGAAAAAAGCAGAAAGTTTTTGTTTTGTTTGCTGAAATTCTCGTTTCACCTCGTTCCAATATACTTTTGAAGTGTGGACTCAATAACCGTGAAAACCTTAACCGTAGCTGAAACCCAAATTGAGCAACAAATGAGCCATAAACTAAATGCGGCTTCATGGTAGAGTAGTCAATTGTCATTAACCGACGAACACAGATAAAAATATCGTATATTTCCGGTCTCTAACAGGTACGTTAATTAAACACTTTATTGCACATATAATAACGAAACTACGTATATATAATTTTTCCCCACACACAAATATACCGTATTTACAATATTCTTAACCTATAGTAATAAAATAATAGAACATTAAAACAAATTTAAAAAGTTTGGTCCCTGTGGCAGCATTTCCTCGGAAAAGAGAATGTTAAAATACAATTTATGAGTATAGTAAAAACTGAGCTCATATTGGCTTCAAGTGTGCGATGTTTGTTTACATTTTGTTTACGCTTCTAATTATTAACCAATATATACTTGACTAATATTGGTTACATAACTCCGTAATATAAGTTTTTAAATTAACCACAGTCAATCACACCTTAAGCACTTTCAAATAAATCAAACTTATAAACAATGGTTGACAGTTCTCGAAACTAGATCTATCACTCGAATACGCGGGCCTGAGTTTAGTGAAGAGGGGACTAATTACACATTTTATACCTATAAAGTAATGTTACATGTAACATGGTTTTATAAATTGTCTCTGCATTAAGACACAATCTAACATGACGATCTAGCCTAACTTAAGACTATAATATATTTAATAATATACCTAATAATTAAAAACTAACCTTATTTATTTATTTATTCACACTTCGTTGCATTAAAAAAACACAAATAACACAATACATACATAAAAATTATTAGGGATGCAACGGGCGGCCTTATCGCTAACAAGCGTTCTCTTCCAGGCAACCCTAGTAAGAGAAAAACTAAAAAAAGAAATATAATGAGTAAAGTGCAAGAAGTGCATAATAGAATGTTATATTAAAAAAAGTTGTGCGTGTACTAGGTGTACACACGTAAGAAGTGAAACTAAGAAATAAGATCTTATTTTTCGAAAAATTATCTACTATATGCAACTTTACAGAAATTCGTTAAATTAGATAAAGTTTAACAAAAGGCTTTTATTATCATAGACATGAATACAAATATTTAATTTTACCTTATTACTACGAAGATTATTATAGAATTTCATTAATTGTAATAGAATTATTACTATCATTGAAAAACGTGACGATTTGCTACAAAATTTCTCCCAAGTCCCATACGTCGATAAAGAAGTTTCATTCCAACGCCGATAAAGAAGTTTGACATCAAAAAGCAACATGGCGCGTAACCGAAAAATGTGACGCGTAACGAAAAAATGTTACACTAAATTTTATTCCAACCCCGATAAAGAAGTTTCACTTCAAAAATTTATAAAACCTTAATCTAAATACAAAAAAAATATTGATAACAAACTAAAAAATCTCACGGATTCATGAATCGCGATGCAATGCAAAAGAAAAGGAAATACAAGAATTACACAAGTCACGATTGATCAGGATAGGACGGTTAAGAAAATGAATTTACTTTTACTAACATAAGAAAGTGTCCAATAACACTACTTACAGTCTCTATTAAAGGTAAGACACACTTGTGTACTATTTAGTATTTAATGAATACGATGCGTTTGATGTTCGAACTCTGGTACGTAATTAATTACAATCCCATTTTAAAGTCGCAGCCTATTTCATAGCTCCTTCCTTAGCTCCATCTGTAAAACTTTTTGTAAATGTTTTCAAAATACTGTAGTTTATGCAAAATAGACAATGTTTGGGTCTGTATCAAGACATAAAACACATTTTATAAATTAATACATGCACAGATTTACACAATTAATACTGCTGTGTGTGTATTTATGTTTGTATAACAAGCTCCGTGACTCACTTTGCCTCAGAAATGGATTAAAATACGTGCCAAATTCAAGAGTAGTTCAATGTCGTATAATAACGCTATTTTGAACCGGGAACATTTTTTTGAATTTACTTGCTATCTTTATACCCAGTGTTGCTAACGAAAATAATTACATTAATGATTAAAACTATCCAAGAAGTATGTTTAAAATAGTTTTTATTTATTGTTGGGCATAGATAAATGTATTTATTATAAACATTATTTTATAGACACAAATACATCATTTGAAATTGCATTAAAGTTGTCTGTTTTAATATTTACGAATTATTGATACACCGCTTTTGTATTCTTAGAACGGTAGTTGTGTAGAAACTAGAAAGCGTAACTTTTATTAGTATATATATGTATATATATAATTATATAGGAACTATATGTTTTATAATCAAGCGAATCACCTTCAGCGGCTACTTGTCAACACGGATGACGTCTTAAGCCATGACATACAAACCGTAAACTTCAAGATGTTCTTCGCATGTACATTGTCAAGTCTTACTAAGGACATAATACCTGTATTGCCCAACTTTGGGTTTTCATAAAAAAAGGGTGCGTGTACTTATGTACGCGCGTAAGAAGTTATACTTCTTTGGCTTTCTTGATTTTTTTTAAATATAAATTAATTAATAATTATTATTTAACGTTAATAATTTAATAATATTTACTATTTAGTATATTATTCAATTATTAATTAATATTAATAATAACAATTATTATTATTTATTATTTTATTATATTATTATTCATTCAATTTAATAACTAGGTATGTTTCATAACCTTTTAACTAAGTAACTATAGGTCTTTGTGAAAAAGCATTGCTAAATTTCTTTGAAAAATAATTAAAACTCCTTTATTTGTTTAAACAACAAAGGTCATTGAAAATTCTTTGCATAGCTGCTAACTTCACGCATATTCTATTTCTTTTTATGTACTTGTAGATTGTCTTATTCCCATCTTGCTCGCGCACGCTCGGCGCCTGGCTGGTTTCAAAAGAATTCGTTAGTGTTCTACTTCATACTGATAATTTTGTAAAATTTCACTCTCATCAATTTTTCATAACGCGCCTAAAGAAGTATAACTTCAAAAATTGTGGGCTGATTTTGTTTTAATTGTAATACAGTGAATGTTAAGACACCACAGGAAACAAATTTTCTGATGTTTTGCCGTATATAATTATTACACTACTAATATCGTTATTTAAAAAAATAGGCCACCCTTTTCACCGAATTCTCAGACCGAATATATACAAGAAAATTTCATAAAATCGGCAACGCTGTTCCGGTGTTTCACAAGTACCGTGGCTCGTTTCTGCTTGCATTGAAATAAGACTTTACATAGAACAAATTGTTAATATAAATATTTCATATAATAGTATTTTATATATGTGTGTAGTTCATGTTCTGTGACCTGTATAATTCCGAAACGACCACAATGATTTTACAAAATTACGAATACTAATAGACCTAGAATTCGAATTTCGAATTCGAATTCGCGCATGTTATTTACTCCTTGATAAGAATTTAATAAGTTTATTCTTTTAATTTCATTAAATTGATTCTATCGAGTGACGAGAGAAATTTATATAAAATTCTTATTTACGATTATTGTCTTTGGTTTCAATTAGTGCGTCACCAGTTGAATGTCAGGGGGAAGGGAAGAAGTAGGAACAAGGGATGGGACTGTCCCAACAAGTGAAAACGTGGTCACAAATATTACACATAGACTATTTACAATATTTTTAACCTACATAAAAAACGTGTGTGTACTTATGTACATAAATAAATATATTTTGACAAATTAATTATTAAAAAAGATTTTCCGTTATTCAAGTATCAGCTGCGTATCCTGTCCCCTGACAATGCCCTTCTTCGTTTCAATTGTTAGATTTGGGGTCCCTTTTAAGTAAAACACACCCCTATCAGGGTCCCTAGCTCGTTATAACTGCGTAAGTTTATTTTTATTGTATTTGTCGTATTTACGTAAACATTAAAATCGATTAATATAAATTTGTAATATTTCACTGAGCCATAGAAGTACAATTTATATGAAATATTCATTACTTCTCTTGTTTATTACTTCTTATCTTTGCTATCTTTCCAGCAACTTCATTAATAACTATAGGCATATCGGACATAATATATTAAGTTACAATTTAACCAGAATAACAAATTGTAACATGCATTACATGGATTTAGGGGAGGGCAATCGGGGCTACAGCCCTAAAAGTGTTAAGGCAAAAGAGGGATCCCCACAATAGACTTCGGAAAAATAAATGTTTTAAATTCCTACATAAAAACTAGTAAACAATTTTTCTCTTGATATATTTTTATATGTTAGTTAAACACTAAAAGAATCTACTTGGTTTCACAATAAAGTATTGATTAAAAACTCGACTGATTTGTTTTTTTGCTATTTATTTGATAATTTATTTGGGACTCAATACTCAGACCCCTAAAACCGGGCCTATATGTGTTATCCACAGAAGAAGATATTATTTCTACGTTCAATAAGTTAATGAAAAAAAACATGAGGATAACAAATAACTTTAAACCCGCATTGTAAAGAGAAATTTGCGCTTTTCCTTTTAATCTTCGATACCACAGCTACACCACCATTTAAACCTTTGAAACAAATAGTCTAGATTTGAATTATATTCGAAATCTAATAACAATTATATTTATAGCCTTCAGAAATTTGTGTTTCATAGCTGTAGTATGAGTTCCGATCTCTTTGGTCTTTTAAAAATGTTGAATTCAGTTTTGACACAAATTTAGGTGAGACAAAGTTCACCGGGTCATCTATTAATGTAACCAATTCAAAGTCGTTTTTAATTGTGAAGTTCTTATTATTGTCTCTTTTAATTTCAAGGACCTCTTATAGAGTATAGGCCTCATTCAACTGGCTCCATCTTAGGCATTTTTATCCCATTCTTCTCCACCTACGTTTTTAAGTTCGTCAGCCCACCGTGCAAGAGAGCGACCTCTCTTTCTTTTCCCTGGCCCTTTCATTGTTCATGCGAGCGGTTTGGCCCAATATCTGAATGTTTCAAGGAATAAATGAGGCTAAATTATTATTATCTTTCAATTAAGAAGCTTTAAAAAAAGTCAAAATCATTTATTCATATAGGTACACAATGTACACTTATGAACGTCAAAAAAGAAATATATATGAAATGCTTCTAATTTTACATTTACCTATTGCCAGTTCTCAAATCAAGGGCGTAGAACGGAAGAGAAGAACTGGTAATAAATTTACGTCACTTTTTTAATCGCCAAGTTTTTTGTTTTACACAATTTTTGTACGGAGCTGCAACCATTACACCATGTTCCACATGACATCTTAAGTAAGTAATAATAATAAAACAAAGATTTGTCCTCTATCAGTAGGAGGGATTTCAACATCCCTCCTACTGCACGCACTTACATTCTCGTGGGAACAACACGCAAATACACAGTCGAAACAGTTGTTTCGACTGTGACTACCATCACCGCATACACCAATTCAAGTCCGACCAGTCACCACAGTAAATGTTTTATTATTAGCGATATTTACATTTAATCTAATGAATTAAACTTCTTTTAGTTTCCTTATGTGGGTATTTGATAAGTGGAGTCCATACAGTTACCAGAACAATCGGGAGAAGTACAAGGATGATGATGAACGACGGGAGTTCACGCTGAAAGAGTGTCTTTGGTTCTGTATGACGTCATTAACACCTCAGGGTGGAGGGGAGGCACCCAAGAACCTCTCCGGACGGCTTTTGGCCGCTACTTGGTGGCTTTTTGGGTAATTTCTCTTGTTATTACTAAAATTTGTCCGATTAGTCTCACGGTCCCGGTCTCACAGTCCACACGGTTATAATTTAATTGCTACGACTTCGGGCGTTTTACAACGTATAATATCTTCCTCTATCCTATGATCGGAAAATCCCCACTATGACACACTTGGAGTCTATTTTTAGTTTAGTTTGCTGGTTTTGTTCTAGGCTTAATATAAATTATATAGAATCATACATTAAAAAGAAATATTGTACAAAGTACCCCCTAAATGATCTTGATTTCCCCTAAATATCGGGAGGAAATACCCAAGTTGGCATCACTGCACTGCGTTGCAGTGCTTTACCTTTTTTGTTGTTGGCAACACATTGTAGGTCGATTGATGCTTAATACGTTTTTGTAAATAAATGTAAGTGTAGGTCAAATAAATATTTCAAGCAAAAACAAAAAAAATCTCGTATGTAACGATTACCTTTGGTCTGTCTGTTTTAGCTTCATCATAATAGCATCGTATACCGCAAATTTGGCCGCTTTCCTGACAGTCTCCCGTCTGGACACTCCAATAGAGTCTTTAGATGACCTCTCCAAACAGTACAAGATCCAGTACGCGCCTCTTAACGATTCCAGCTCCATGACGTACTTTGAAAGAATGGCCAATATTGAGATTAAATTTTACGAGTAAGTAAGAGTAATTTACATTCCACCATTTTTAATAGGCCAGTAGAAAATTTAGGTGTTATTGAGAGTAATAATAATAATCTAATGGCGCTAAAGTCTTATATGTCTTGGCCTCAGATTGCATCCGTATCTTTGGTCATTTTTATTTCATAGACAAGTAGAACAGCCATCTGTCTGACACATGTGAGATTGGATTTGACATATGCCGGTTTCTTCGCGATGTTTTCCTTCAGCGAGTGTTAAATGCGCACATAGACAGAAAGAACCTACGAGCTCAAGGATGAGAGAAGAAGCTACTAGGCCAACAGTGTTATTCATTCTGTATAATTTAATTAGTTTATCAAAAAATCTAAAAATTAATCGAAAGAATCGAAAAAATAATTAAAAACATTGATATGTCTTTGCCTCGTACTATCTTGGAATTTTATTAATTGGTCATAGACTATGTTTAATCAAAAAGTAAGTTAAGAAAGAATTGACAAGAAAAAAACTAGACGTTTATTTTTTTTTAGTTACTGTCATGGTACGCCACAGGGACTGGTACGACGCCATCTTGTCTAAGGTTTTGGCGGGTTCTTGAAAGTTGGACTATTTATTTTTTAAAGCCTGGACTAATAAGTCCTTTAGGCACTAATAAATAATTTGAATTAAAATGGTTTTTAAAAATCTTGTGAAATCGTCAATTTTCTGTAGACCTTTAAGTGCATTCGAAAATGTGAAATGAGTTCAAATCTGTAACAGTTGTCGTGCAAACATGCCCTCTGTGTTTACTGTTTACGAGGGCGAAATCAATCGAATGGGGTCAATTTAGTTCATTTAATGCAAGTAACATTTACCTGTTCTATTTCAGTTCAGAAATTTATAAGATGATTTATTTACGTTTCATACGCTTGAGATTATAATGGCATAGTTACTGATATAACTCTTATCAGAGGCTTATCGGTCACGAAGCCAGCTTGATAACACCGTTTCCGCCATATTGTATACGGAATTTTCACTGTTTTGTTTTAATGCAAAAAACATAAACAACGCCTGTTTTTGAACGTTTAAACATTCGTTAAAAAACGATGTTATTCGGCTCTGAAAAGTGAAAACTTTTGAGAGCCGTTTCGAGTTATTATTAGCGATTTTTTTATACAATAAAATGTTAATAAATTAATGTGTAATGTGAGTATATGACATTGACGATTTTCATGAGTTAAAACGGCCGATACTACACAAGAATTCGATCTGGTGAGTAACAACAACATCCAACCAAACCTTTGAAGATCTGGCGCAAATGTATTTATTAAATATAGTAGAATAAATCAAATATCAATCATTAATATTACGAAAAAGTCATATTCGGTTAGGTTAATTAAATGTATGCATAATGATTGTGTTGATATTACAAGACGTATTCATCAATTCTTCGTCCGTATAAGTACTAAATACATCTTTATCGTACCAGAGCCATCCTGACTGCGATTTTTCTCCTGTCTCCCGGAATACAGAGCTAATTAAAGAACCATATTAACATTGCATTTGTTTTTTATTACATGAAGTTTGTATAATCTATCTATAATATATCAGTTATTCATCTAAGAGTTACCAATCTACCAGTTATTAATCAAAGATATAAGTTTGAAGAAAAATTAACCTGTGTTTCCCTTGGTCATGGCATCACGAGTAAACGGATGGACAATTTCACCAATTCCTTTTTGTTGTGTTTATTAATGTCTCATGAAAGAAAAAAATTGAGTCGATCGGATCTATAGAAAATTTAAGAAAACTTATCGATAATATTAATAATATATATAAGTTACTGTCAGCGATTGTCAAAATGCGCGCAAATATCGTTTAATCGTTATCGACTACCAAAATAAACTACATATTTATATTTAAGACAGGACGTCTTTCGTGACTAGTATTATATTAAACCGAAAGATAGTGAAATACCGAATCGGGCGTTTCCGAAAACCGAACCGGTTTGAAAAGAAATTCTTCGAAGCAATACTATTCATTTACCCTAAAACGGGCCATACAAAAACTAGACCACTAAAAAACAAAAAAGAAATCTAACTTAAATTTTTTAGAACTTCTACTAACACAACTAATACTCATATTAAGATATGTAAACATAAAGCTTTAATAACAATAATTATAATAATCCTACAGCTAATGTAAATTAGATATAACAAAAAACAATATAGCCAAAGATGGAATACGTATTATAAAAATGTTAAACATTTACGAAAGGAAAAAATCAATAAAAATTATTAAATACATTTAACTAGGTAATACCTAATTCGGCTGTGTGTGATGGTGTGAAAGTGAGGGTCCGTGAGGGCGTGTATGTAGGGCGTGCTCATGATGCAGGTTAAGCATATTCCGTGATAGCTTAAACAAGTCAAGGCTTAAATAGCGGTCGTTGTGTAAACTGAGTTTGCATAGTTGGTGTTGATGTGAGGAACGTGTATTTTAAATTCCTGTTTTCATCATTAAGAACGTATCTAAAAAACACTGGTTTAACAGGATATGGAAGGAAATGAGCCTAAATGACAGCCTAAGTGATGTGGAACGTGCGAAGCTGGCGGTATGGGATTACCCAGTTAGTGACAAATATACGAAAATGTGGCAGGCAATGAAAGAAGCTGGGTTACCAAATACAGTAGAAGAGGCTGTCGCTAGAGTCAGAGCTTCCAAGAGTTCAAGCGAAGGTTTCGCGTGGCTTGGTGATGCTACTGATGTGAGGTAAGCAAATATATTAAATTATTATTTAATAATATATTTTTTTAAAGTATTGATCTTGAAATTTAGGGTTAGATGCAGTGTTATTTTAACAGGTTGATTGGTCAAGTGGTTTAACGTAGGTACTAGTCTGATTAGGAGTTTCCGATTTCCGAGAATCCAGATTTTTTTTAAACGGTCTCCTGTGATGTCGACTAACCTTTTTGAAATCCACTTATATTATACACTTTTGCGTTGCATTTCTGCAGATACCAAGTCCTGACGAGCTGTGACTTACAAATGGTAGGAGACGAGTTCTCCAGAAAACCTTATGCCATTGCGGTTCAACAAGGTTCACCACTGAAAGATCAATTTAATAATGCGTAAGTTTATTTAAATATTCAACTCCAGTGTAAATTAATTAAATCATCAGGAGGTCAACGAGCTGGTGGGTAATAAAATGATAATCGCTGCCCATGGACACTATCAACGCCTGGATTGTGTTGCCGACTTTTAAATAATAATAATAAATCATTTATATGAAAGAAAGTGTACATTCAGATTGATTCATTATAAAAAAATGGTTACCTGTAAAGTTGGTTTGCGGACGATAGTTTAACGTGACAACGTCATAACAAAACATTGATAAAATGATTTCATACTTAAGGCTTCGAGTGAAAGAGTAACGCGACAAAGAGCATAACGGGACAATGCGTCCAGCTTTTTCATGCGTGCAGCCCGCGTTCATCGATTTATTAGACGATGTCACGTCAAAAACAGCACAATCAATCATATAAAAATTGGCAAGAAAGTGTCATATTAATTATCATAATAATAAGAACAGTTAAGTTATTTATAATTGCTGTCTAAACTTGTGGTCTAAACACTCTCCCACAAAGGCACCCTGCCTTTAAATAATCACTTTCCCCTTGAAAGCATTACACGGCATCTATTACTCCTTGGAAGGTGCAGGCTCCCACAGCCTTGTTGGATCCCTCGGTATGGGCAAGTTTCTTTAAATGATTTGAATAATAAATTTAGGGAAAGTACGCTCTTTTCTTGGAGGATCCTAAGTTGTATCGGTTTTTAAAATACCTCTACTGGCAACTGGATTCACAAAGAAAGCGCTACAAAACACAATTAAATGGCGTACCGGTTGTAACCGAACGCGGTGTTACGTATCGAATATAATTAAAATTAATTAATTTAGCTTCAACCAAAATGATAGATACAGCTTATAATATTTAGTTAACAATTATATATCTGCATATTCAAACACCTCATCTATATAAATAAAAAGAATAAGTATCGTAATACAGCGAGGAATTCTGCCAGCGTTAAAGGTACACTGCCACAGGGACCAAACTTTTTAAATTTGTTTTAATTTTATTTTTATTATTACTATGTAAATTAAGAAAATTGTGAATACTGTATATTTGATTGTTATGATTACTAATAAATAAACTATAAATAAAATTACAAAATATATTACTAAGCGCAAAACTCGAAGACGGCTGGACCAATTCGATTTGATTTTACTTATTCCTTGAACTCTGAGAAGCGTTATGTAGAGTATTTTTTTTTTATTTAATACTTAGGTTATTATTGAAAAGCGTTTCTATGGGGTATAGCATAGGGGTATAGCAAGATAAATCTATCTCATTTCGACACAGCGTAAACACAATTTTGACAGAAAGGGACGAAATCGGACGACGGAACTTAACACTTTTGCTATTTAGTTCTTTATACAATATATTTTATTACAAACGCCTTATCAGTCGGTTTTAATTTTAATTAACTTTATTACTTAACTATTTAACATTACATAAATACTTCCCTAGTTTACGCTTAACATGTACTTCCTGAAACGATAGTCTGAACAATTTAATGTTACATGAATTACTAAAGCCTATTACGTACGAATTTATTATTCGAGTCAGTACGTTCTTACCGCAGGTGTTAATTGATTTTCCTATACGGTGAACAATCGTGAAACCAACAAGTTCCAAGGAACAATAGATAAATTGATAGATATGATCCATATTTATAAGATGGATAGGTAAATAGATAAATGGAACACTAGATAAATTGATAGATAGATAAATAGGCAGTTTTAATTGATAGATATATGAGTAGATAGATAAATAGGCAGCTTAATTGATAGATATATGGTTAGATAGATAAATGGAAAGATAGATAAATAGATAGATAGAGAATTTTTTACCTCGCTGCCAGGCTATTCTATCAAGTCACAACCCCGTAACTCTGTAGTAGGACTTGGAATGAAATGTGTCAGACATTTCTGCGTCGTTTTCATCTATATCAGACATCAGTGTTTCCCAACGTGCCCCACAGGCCACAGGGCGGCACTTTGATTGTTAAGATTTCTTAAAATTATTTGCAATTTGAATTTCAGTTTTTCATTATTATTATTTTTTAATTACTTACTGTGTCCAATAAACCTATTATTTAACAAAAGAGTGAGTAAGAGTTTCTTATATGAACAATTAATTTAAATTAAAAATGATACGTATGTTACATTTGGGGGGGGTTAAATGAGAATTTTAGAAAGGCTAAGGTGGACCATGGAGCAAAAAAGGTTGGGAAACACTGATCTATTTTATTTCTTTATCACCTTCCTTGTCTGCTCTTGATGTCTTCACTGTAAAACCAAGTGCATTTAAAAATCATGTTAAAGTAGCTTGACAACTTAAAATATCATAGTAAGTTAAGTAAGTAGATAGATATATAGATATAGTAGTAGATTTAAGTTTGGTACATTTTAAATGCATAAAACACACTTAGTAACTAAAATTTACCGGTTATTATCAGGTTCAAGGTCGCTACGTTTTGGTGAAAAACAATGTCTACACGAGGTAGATTTTGAATATGTTATTTTTTAAACCGTTTCTGTTGTAACCGAAACACTAAGTAACATTCAATTATTGTTAATATAATTATTTAATTATTGTGCAGAAAGTGTCAAAAAATTAATTTAAATAGTAATACCATATTTGTTTGTAATCAGAATAATCCCAGGTCCGTATATAGTTCGTTCGTTTCGTTTGACTCATTGAGCTCATTAAACAAGATTTAAATGTGAATTACGTTCAAGAATGCGGACTTAAAACCGATTTTAATTTTTTTTCACCAATATTGGTGCTTATATAAGCGAAGTATCAATGATAATGATTTTAAAAACCATTCAGATTATTTATTAGAATCTTTAAAAATTCCAATTAAACATCTAAGAACCCCCAAATCGATTCAAGATGGCGTCGCACTAGCCCCTATTATATACCGTAGACACGTAAACAAACGTCAAGTTTTTTATTAACAAAATATTTTTCTCCCTACAGCGACCAGCGTACACTACAACGTCGACTACAAAAACCTATACTACAACAAAAGGTTGCGTTGTCCAAAGTTTTCCAAGTAACCTTAAATTAATTTACGAGCTACGATTGAAATTGTTTAATAATAAATTGCATACCAGTAAACATTGATAATCTCGGCTAATTCTGACCTTGGCGTTCTGAATAACAGAATAATACTGATATTAAAATAACAAACACACTATTCGACGTACAGTGGGGTCAAATACTTTATCCGATAGACTTTTAGGTATACATTTTTTATAGAACTGGGCAAACGGGAAGGAGGCTCATCTGATGTTAAGTGATACTGCCCATGGACACTCAATGCCAAAGGGCTTGCGAGTGCGTTGTCGGCCTTTTTGGGATTGGTCATCGATTCGAACCGCTCTTCGCTGAATACGGTCAAGTGGAAGGAGCTGGTAATGGGTACAGTACTCCATGTGGAGCCGAATTTGCGCTTTATACAGTTGCAAGCGGCTTTTTGGAGCCTAATTTAGCCTTTCCCTCCACATGACCACAAAACTGGACGTCGTTCGATATGAAAACATATCGAATTACGAATTAATTACATTCGATACATTCACGTAGTTAATTCAAACAAGATTAAAGCGCGCTAAATTATCAAAACTTTTCAATTATGTATTTTGAAAACATTTATCGCCCTCGCTTTACTGACAATTAAGGGTTTAACCAGGAATGATTTAAAAAAATCATTAAAAATATTGTGATAATATATAGCTGATGAATGACATATCAAATACGGTGTATTTTAAATTTAACAAAACATTTACAACGTACTACAGTAAGTTCTTTTTAAAATTGTTACAAAGAATAGCATTGTTGTAATGACAGAATTTTTGCTTTTATTTATTTATATTTTATTCACACTTAGTTGCAATAAAAATAAGAGAAACACAAATAAAAAAATTAATAAAATTAAATACATAAAAATTACAAGGGATGCAACGGGCGGCCTTATCGCTAATAAGCGATCTCTACCAGGCAACCCTATTAAGAGAAAAACTAAAAAAAGAAAAATAATGAGTGCAAAAGTGCAATACAAAAAAAATATTAATACCTAACTAAAAACTAAAAAGCTAATCTTACAGATTCATGAATAGCTTGCTTTTGTTGTAATTACAAAAACGTTTGGACTCCTATAGGCTGAATACTTAATACCTATTTAAAGTATTATATTTGATCTTTATATAAATCATTGCAGCATACTCCAATTGCTGAATAAACGAAAACTAGAAAAGCTCAAAGAAACATGGTGGAATAATAACCCCAAAGCCGTGAAATGTGAGAAACAGGACGATCAGTCGGACGGCATTTCCATACAGAATATTGGTGGCGTGTTTATAGTTATTTTCATGGGAATCGGACTTGCTTGCGTAACTCTAGGCGTCGAATACTGGTGGTACAAATGGAGAAAGCGAGCTGTCATTGGAGATGTCACGCGGGTATGCTAAAAACAATACATTACAAAATTAGCGGGCCCGGCTATAAATAACGTCTGGCGCCATCTAACGGTCTAATTATCATCATTCAAAAATCCCGAAATCTTTTAGTTTTGATTATAATTTAATCTGACGACTACACTTTCAAACGAATATACGTTTATTCTTACTATATAAATACAGATTCTGTGCAACTTCCATATATGGTCAAGTGATTTAATTGTACGGATAATGACATTCTTTGAAGGTTACGAATGATCATAATTATAGGTGGCTTTAAAGTGTATGTGGCGCCATCTATGTATATGTTGTGACAACTTGTAAAATTTGGTAATGTATATAACTCTTAACAGTACCAACAGGTGGCGCTGGTCTCAAATTACTTTAACGCAAATCTATACTATAGTTCTTATTGACTATACCTAGTTTATGATATTTTATAATTTTAACCTAGCTGTTGGTTTGTTTATCTTGTACGATATAAGACAAAACGTAACGTTGCAAACGTAAATAATAAATTTTCTATTACAGGTGCAGCCAGTTAAACTGTCAAAGAATGAAATTTCGACAAATGAAGGAAAGAAAAATGAGAATGTCTCGTTCAGATCTAGGAACCTAAACTTAGCTGACCTGAAACGAAAGTTTTAGTGGAAATTAAAAGTCAGACATATGAAATCGAACCCACCTTGTTTATTGTTTGATGTTTGATTGGTTCTTATTTAGCTTATTTTCATATAGGGATATATATTTATATTCTATAGATATTTAATATTTTCTCTCAATGTTACAATGTTAATAAAGCTTTAGAGGCTAAGTTCATGCTTTATGGCTTAAATGCACCTGGATTTTGAATCGAATAACATTTAATTGCACTTTTTACTAAAGATTAATAAATCCCAAAATAAAATTGCTTATTTCAAGATGCTCTTGAAAATGTTTAAATTAAATCGAAAATCTGTCGTGTTTCAATTATGCACCGATTTCTAACACAAATTAGTGAGAAATAAATACTTGCACCATGATTATGGGTTTCATTTACCCATCAACGCTTCCCGGCAGGTAAATTGGCAAGATGAGATGGTGACACTACAAAATCGTGATTTATTGCTTTAGAGTTAGGTCGTGACACACGGGTCCTATTCGAGTTGATTTTCTCTCGTTTTCCTTCATAAAGTCTGTTGGTGCACAAGCCGAAGAGAGTGTAATAATATACTCTCGCTCACTCCATCGATATGGACATCGTCATTAGTGGGTTTAGTGGGCTTCATGTGGGTAAAGTGCGAGCACAAAAGACTCGAATAATTATCGTAGTATTTAATTTAGATTGATTCCCATTAACATTACAAATAACACTTTTAGCTTAAATTATAACGAGCAGCGGATTTAAGGCACCGATCTCACTTTTACTCACAATCTACTCAACCACAAATCACATAGACCCAACTCGGTCCAACGTCTCATCGCCATAATGCTCCACTGAATACTCAATCAGAATTCAAAACTACCCTGCGACCTGCGTTCCCTGATTGCACTGTCCAAACTCCAAAGTCAAGATGGCGCCTCGACCCCACTCCGCACTCGAGGCATTTGCTCGGCTCCGATTAGTCGTATCAATATTCTTACTTTTATTAACAAACAAACAAAAATCATTTATTCATGTAGGTAACACAATGTACACTTATGAACGTCAAAAAAAAAGAAATAAACATTAAAAGCTTCTAATTTTACATTTACTGCCAGTTCTCTGGCGTAGAACGGAAGAGAAGTACTGGCAATAAACTCTCCGCCACTCTTTTTAACCGCCAAGTTTTTGTTTTACACAACGTTTGTAACCATTACACCATGTTCCACATGACATCTTAAGTAATAAATAATAATAAAATAAATTAAAAACAAAGATTTGTCCACTATTACCTCTTTTCGTTAAGTAATGGTTCTAAATTCCGAAACAATTAAATAATAACAAAGCAAATCGAATCCAATTAAATTATGATTAATAAAAGAAATATAAGGAATCTCAATTATTAACCAAAGCAACTATAAAAATCAACGGTCATTTGACTCGATCAGAACATTCCTGATAATCGGAGCTCTCCCTATCAATTGTCATATATTATACATATTATAAAATATAATTTTCATTATTTAACGAATTTCTTTCAAAAGGAAAATATTCTTTCGTAGTCTGAATAAAATTACGTTCTTATCAAACACATCTTTGCTTATAAATTTAGCTAGGAGCTAAAAAAATCTAAAAAATTAATATATTTATTCGGTCTACGACAAACTATCTTTGTATGAACTAAAATGAGTATCTTTGGTTTAGATTCCCATATCCGAAACAGAAACTGACACAGAAACCTATATGTTATGTTCCTTTTTGTGCACTTTCAGTCAATGTTAAGGGCTACGTGGTCGTATTATATATTATCATAATATATTAACACTAAATTCTTGAGGAAGCTAGTTAAAAGGTCGTAATGGTTAAAGTAAAATATTGTAAATTTTTATTTCAATAACTTCGAGTCCAAAAAATGTTTTTAATAATCGTGCCGTTACACACTAGTGTGCTATTAAAGTAACTAATTACGATGGGCAAATTACAACCGAGCGTATACCCAATTAGTGGTATAATAGTCTGTCAGTATTCTTCTGAAAATCACATGGGAAACTCGAAATCCAAACATGCTACTGTTTTTAACATTTATCCAAACTATATTTCATTATTCGTTTTCACAAACAACTCAGAATATCAACGTTTGTAAGTAACGGTACATAATTCAAATCGTTTTACATGGTGACACGATCTAACTGCTTAAATTTCAGTATTAATTAACGAAGAAAATAATGCTTTGGCCGAGAAATCTTTTGAAGTAGCTAAGGAGTATGTTAAGAGAAATCCTAGTTTGGGACTTGCTGTCGATCCTATTATTGTCGTCGGTAACCGGACTGATGCTAAGGTGTTTTTAGAAAATGGTAAGCATTTGAAGCGACGTGCTAATTTATTTCCGAGTTTATTATACTCGCACGTTTGCTACGCTTTGCTGTCACGGCAGACTGATATTTAAAATAACCATTTTACAGGAAACACGTTTATCGCCTTAGCAAGGTCAAATAAGCGTACTTAAGTATTTTCAGGTTAATTTAATTATATCTGATGTTTCAGTTTGTAGAAAATATACAGACATGGTGTCAGGAAAGAAACCACCACACGTCGTACTTGATTTCACAACGACTGGAGTCGGGTCAGAGACTATTAAATCATTTACTTCAGCGCTAGGTTTGCCCACTGTTTCTGGGTCTTTTGGCCAAGAAGGTGACCTGCGACAGTGGCAAAGTTTGAATTTTAATCAAGCACGTTACTTGCTCCAAGTAATGCCACCGGCGGATCTACTACCAGAGTTGATACGTGCTATTATTAGAAAGCAAGATATAACAAACGCCGCTGTTCTTTTCGATGATTATTTTGGTTGGTAGCATAGACCTTATAAAACAGTATAAACTTATGAATAAATGAGAATTTAATATGCATTCTTTGCAGTGATGGATCACAAATACAAATCTCTTTTACTTAATATGCCAACACGACACCTGATAACACCCGTGAAAAGTCTCAGTGTAGACGACATTAAAACACAACTTCAAACTTTACGAGAGCTTGGAATTACTAACTTTTTTGTAATCGGTAGCTTGCGAACTATTCACAACGTACTAAACGCTGCCAATGAAAAGGAGTATTTTGGTAGAAAAACTGTTTGGTTTGCACTAACTCTGGACAAGGGAGACATAAGTTGTCAATGCAATGCTACTATTGTTTTAATGCAACCCACTCCAGATGCTAGCAGTAAGGACCGATTAGAAAAATTAAAAACAACCTACAACATGAATGGAGAGCCAGAGATTATATCTGCATTCTATTTTGATTTGTCACTACGAACATTTTTGGCTATCAAGTAAGGACCTTTATTACTATAATAAAAAAAGTGCTTACGTACAAAGTACACATGTCAGAAGTGAAACTTCTTCGGCAAACTAATTTTTAAGTCTTGTTCATACTTATGTAAATCTAAAACTTTAGTTTTCCGAGACTTGGAGGGAAAAAGGAAGATATGTATGTTAGGAATTGAATTGTCATTAAAATATTGAAAGCGTCGAAAATTAATACAAATAATTTTTTTGTTTTTAATTTATTTCTTCGATAATAAAAACACGTGGCATTTAATTTACAATTCGTCATTTGAGATTTCAATAAATTATTTTGCATAACATATATAATACTAATATTTCATAAATTCTCTTCACGAAATATTAATTTTAAAATAGAATTTCTATAAGGAACTTCATCTTTCCCACTATCTCCCTTTTTTTCGACAAAAACGCTCCACATCTTCGTGACGTTTTCGAAAAAAATTACCCCCCCCTACGCTTAAAGAAGTTTCACTTCAATAATAATAATAATAGCCTTTATTGCTGTAAGCGGTTAATTTCTATTTTACAGCGTGTCCTTGGACATAGGCCATTATTACTATAGTTCTAAATTTTATTTATTTTATTTATTTAATTATAAGTAATCTTACTTACTTAAATTTTTCTCGTTCTACATTTTTCATATTGCATAAATTTAATAAATTTATAACGCATTTAAATTTTCACATTTAACTTCATCTCGATGTATTTGCATTTTATAAAATTCCAGGTCACTACTTGACTCTGGCATGTGGCCGAAGAGCATGAAATACATCGGTTGTGATTACTTTGATGGTAAAAACACTCCCACGAGGATGATAGACTTAAAAACTGCGTTCAAAGAAGTATGTTTTAAATGCTACTCTACCCTGTTCTCTCTTCCTGTCTTGAAAAGCCCTAACCAATACATCGACTCGCTACTTCCACACCTCATCCTAATCTCTCAGTGGTACAATAGGGATTTTGAGTCCCAAAATTGTCTTTACTTGATCAGTCCAACGGGTAGGTTATCGACCCTGATTTTTCCGGCCATCACTCCTCCATACCATTACCAGCTTGTCGAGACAATTCGGTTCTCTCCTGGCAATATGGCCAAAGTAGCTAAGCATAATATGTAAATGATAGTCGACAGTTGTGGTGATCTCTAGTTGGTTTAGAATTGACGTATTGGTTCCTTTTGCAGTCCATGGTATTTTCGTTCCGCTGCACAAATTCACCAACGTTCTATTCTGTTCATTATGGATAATTAATGATTAATCTGATTTGTTCATTAATGTCGTAGCAATTTATTTTGACTAATATTTTACAGATCAAAGAAACTTCATCGTATGCACCAATTTTTATTCCAAATAGGGGTTCAATGAACGGAAGAAGTTACGTGGAGTTCACAACGAATTTATCGGCCGTGACGATACAGGATGGTGTCTTAATTGGTACCAAGTTGTTAGGAAAGTGGAAATCTGGTTTTTCAAATGCCTTAAATCTAACAAATGTAGATATGACCAACTATTCCGCTCCACTGGTTTATAAAATTGTTACTGCCTTGGTAAGTTATATGGTGAAAACTGGAAAAACACTGACAAAAATTAAAAATTTAACAGCGTTTCTGAATGTTGATGCTATTAGCATCGGTAAAAATAACTACGTAGAGTTAGAGTATAAGTTTAATTCCAAGATATTTCAAACTTATTTATTAATTTATGAACACTTCATTACAATATAAAAATTGAACAAACAAACTTCTATTGAAGTAGCAATCATTATAATATAACGCTATTTTCAGCAGTGTTGGCCTAGTGGCTTCAGCGTGCGAGTCTTATCCCTGAGGTCGTAGGTTCAATTCCCTGCTGTGTACCTGTGTACTTTCTATGTACGCATTTAACATTCGCTCGAACGGTGAAGGAACACATCGTGCGGAAACCGGCTTAGACCCAAAAAGTCGACGGCGTGTGTCGCAGGAGGCTAATCACCTCCTTGCCTATAGATTGACAAATGATCATGAAACAGATACAGAAATCTGAGACCTAAAATGATTGTAGCGCCATTGATTGTTTTTTTTTTTCAGAAACCGCCATTCGTAATAAAAGACGAGAAAGCACCTAAAGGGTTTAAAGGCTATTGTATCGATATGATAGACGAAATAAGTCAGATGCTTAAATTCGATTACGAAATAAGTGTTTCACCAGACGGTAAGTACGGATATATTGATAAGCATGGGAATTGGAATGGAATTATAAAGGAATTGATAGAGAAAAGGGCAGATATAGGCCTGGCCGCGATGTATGTGATGGCTGAGAGGGAGGAAGTGGTGGACTTTACAGTCCCATATTACGATTTGGTCGGAATCACTATTTTGATGAAGGTACCGCGAAAGTCAACATCACTGTTCAAATTTTTAACGGTTCTAGAAGATGACGTCTGGTTCTCGATACTCACCGCTTATTTCTTTATTAGGTAAGACTTTAATGTATGTATATAGTAAGTAGTATTAGATTCATATACCACGCCCTTGATGCGGATGTTAATTTTGTTCTACTAAATATTATTATTATTACATTGGTAAGAATGGTAAGAACTTGACGGTTAGACGGTAGCTTTGCTCCACTTATTTAATAGTTCACTTAATAAATAAAATAAAATACCTTGAGATTATTAATTTAATTAATAATACGTATTAATCACGAGACTAACTGAGAACAAATGAAAAATACGGCGAGTACGCGCCGCTTTTCCGCGTAACTTCTATGAACATATTCGATGCAAGTCGGCACGGGTTATCGTTCTCCAAATAAGGTAAAAATTTATTCCCGAGTGTTTTAGATACAAATGAACAAAACTAAAACCTATTCGTTAAAAAATATAAACTTTGAAAAATAAGGGACAACCTAATGTACATACTTATTTATTATTATTACAATTACATTTACAATGTTGTGGTAAAAAAAAAATATGTTTATTAAGGAACATAAGATACATGTATCACTTATTCCACGTCATTAAGAGGGCGTAGGCCGAGAGAAAAAGCCAGCGTAAAAAACTCTTGGTAGGGTAGGGCGGGGCTAGTTGAGCAATTTTTCACTTGCTTGGATATAGCTCCTCAATGATAAGTCTCAATGAGTTGTTATGTGTCCTGCTGGATTAGTAATTTATCCCTTAACAAAAGTGTCCATAGTATTTTTTTATAACAAGTCCAATATAATAGCTACAGATGTTTAAATGCAGAAAGTCAAGTATGCTCAATGTACCCCATAGGGGGGGTAAGTTGAGCAAGGGTATGGGGCAAGTTGAGCACTAAGAATGTCTAGGCCAAACCATGGGTTCTATGTTAACTTGAGATGAAATAAAATATGTGTTAGACAGTCAGCTTTTTATTTAGTATTTTATTGACAGAACAACAAAATTTAAAGAAATTTTCTTTGTATAAGTAACCGAAACTAGAACCAACAAAACATGAGCATCCATATCTATCCATTACTTCCGATAATTTCTAAAAAAAGATTACCAAGGCTGGTGGGTTCTGGTTTTTTATGATGGATAGCTACGATTTTTTTGTTTTTAAAACATCATCAATGATTCTTTTCCGGAAATCTTTTTTGCAATTCAGCTTGGTGGAATTTTAGCACACTCTTAGGCAAGGCGACGGACGTCTTTTGGAGAAAAATGCCATTTGCAGCAAGAATTTTTTCAACAGTTCTCTTGTGAGAGAGAATATACTTCCCTCGGTGTTGTATAGCCCATAAATGAATCATCACCTTCATTTAATTTATTTAAAAGTCAACCAATTCAGAATTCTTTAGCGGCGGTATTCACACTTTTTCCCTCATCGTGGACAGCCTTTGCAGCATTATTTAAGTATTCATAATGTAAGAACATCTTGTAGTCTTCCTCTTGTAAGTCCGCATCCAAACAAAAAATAAAAGATTCATTACTCATCAGTTGTTTAAGTCGTAGAGTTAGTTGAGCTATAGTTGCTCAACTTACCCCAACCCGAAATTTTAAAAGAAAAGTAGGATTGTAAATAAATGCCTAGAATTAGACCCAAAACCTATTTACAAATCAAAAATACAATAATCTTCTGAAAGATTAACACTCTCCTGATTGAAAACAGAGAAGATTTGACAAAGACAGACGAAAACTTGCGATAAACAATGTTTTTACTTTTTGGTCACAAAATAAACAAAACGCCGTGACACTTCACTCACTCGTCGAGCTGCCACTAGCTATCGTGCGATGATTACCTCTCCTACCACTCCTTCTTTTCGCTATTTGATACTCCCGCGTAAGGTGAATAGTTTCCGAGATATTTCGATTGCCCAACTTGCCCCTATGCTCAACTAGCCCCGCTCTACCCTACTCTTTTAAAATAGGAAATCACTAACTAAGTTTGTGTTTGTTTTTAAGCTTTTTCCGTCGCTCAAGGTCTTAATTATTCATAAATGCGTAGTCAAATGTCACAGGTAGATTATCATGTAACTTTACATTACAAGTTCCTTCGTTATCGTCACACTGTCATCTAAATAATGTACAGTCCATCATTATTATTTGTATCCTAACAAATGATGGATGTAACCTAACATTAGTTAAGTTACATATATATGTATATAACATATACATATGTATATGTAAATGATACGATGACCTCAACGTTTACCTATTTCGTGCAATAACAATGTTTTTCGCCTCTTTACTCCAATAGCTTTGATAAAAAAGTAGGTATCAGATTGCAGCTATTAAGAAATATGTATAAGTAAATATGTAAAAGTAGAATTTGAAGCCAATATGAGCCCTTTAGTTTTTACCCCACTTATAAATTGTATTTTAACATTCTCGTTTCCGTTTATGTCCAACACTTATGTTAAGTGTCACTTAGATTTACGAACTGTTCAATAAGTTAAGTTAGTTTTTTTGTTAATCCAGCGTCGCAACCCGTGTACCCAGCTTCAAATGACGTGTTTTATTTGAAGATATACAATAACCGCCATCAAACTTATAAACTTTTCTCACGGCGTTCTTTAAATACAACAAACGGGAAAATATTATTTTCGTATAGAACCTTATTGGTTTTTCATTTACGATAGCTCCGACTTTTTATTAATGTATAAGATACTAGTGGACCCCACAGACGTTGTCCTGCATGATATTTAAAGCGATTAGGATATTAAGCAAAGTATGAAAGTACCGACTGCAGTGCCATCTGCCGGGCTGATTTGTGAATCTAAACCATTCCCAGATCCCCTTGAACACACACAAAAAATTTCATCAAAATCGGTCCAGTCGTTTGAGAGAAGTTCAGTGACATACACACTCACAGAAGAATTATATATATAAAGATTAACAGGAGCAGCAGTGGCCTAGTGGCTTCAGCGGGCAACTCTCATCCCTGAGGTCGAAGGTTCGATCCCCGTCTGTGCACCAATGGACTTTCTATGTGCGCATTTAATATTCGCTCGAACGATGAAGGAAAATATCTTGAGGAAACCGGCTTGCCTTATACCCAAACAGACAAGAGCGTGTGTCAGGCACAGGAGACTGATTACCTCCTTGCCTGTAGATTGACAAACCTCGACCTAAAAAGGTTGAAGCGCCACTGATTTATTTATTTTATACGGAATTCACAATTTCATTGAAATATTTTAATTGTGTAAATTTGGGTCAAAATGTTCCTAACTTTATAAAGAACATTCTTATCGGTACAATCCCAGAAGCTCTTTTATCTCTGTCTTTTAATAAATTTAAGAAATGCATTAAAGAAAAGCTGTGTAAAAAGGCTTACTATCTAGTTGATAAAAGACTAGTGCTAGACAGGCTACTTCTAATTAATTTGCGATATTTGTTTTAAAATAAGTGATGTTCGATGATTTGCTATTTTAAAAGAGTACCGAGACTTTTTTACGCCGGCTTTGTCTTTCAGCCTACACCCTCTGTCTTCTTTGCCGATGAGTAGGGATGCCTTCAAATTCCAATTTAATGACGTGGAATAAGTGATACCTGTATCTTATGTTCCAAAATAAACATATTTTTTTTTATTCAAACGATTTGTAATACAAGTATACGGGAGTAATAACGAAAATATTTCAGTTTCTTGATGTGGGTATTTGAAAAATGGAGCCCATACAGTTACCGGAATAACCGAGAAGTGTATAAAGATGATGACGAGAAACCCGAGTTCACGCTGATGGAGTGCTTACGGTTCTGCATGACGTCATTAACGCCTCAGGGCGGAGGGGTGATCCCAAAGAACCTCTCCGGACGGCTATTGGCTGCTACTTGGTGGCTTTTTGGGTAATAATACAATATTGATAAAGTCTTGCGAGGGAGCAACCCAAGTGTTCTCCAAGAACTAGGTTCCTTTGTACCTATGGGCTATGTGCGACGGCGAAGGTCAAGGTGGTTTGCGAAACCAAGGGTCAGAACCAGTGTGTTGCACAGATTCCCGTTATCAAAGACGTTGCGCCGACTGAATGCTGTCTCCGACACTATCGCACAATAAAATAAAATAAAATTATAGAAATTTGTTGGCACTTAAAGCCGAAAAAAAGGAAAAATCATCAGCAAATCAGCGAAATTTTTCGCTGAAAACCTATTTTTTTTAATGAAAAACCTAATTTGAAGAACCTAAGAGAAAGGCACCCTACATTATCGTATTGTAAGGATAGTGTCATATTAGACTTTGATAATATTTCCCTAATAATTGAGTGTAAACAAGCCTTATACTATAAAATGTTTCAGCTTCACCATAGTATCATCATATTCCGCGAATTTGGCTGTATTCCTGTCTGTGTCGCGTATGGACACTCCAATAGAGTCCTTGGATGATCTTTCCAAACAGTACAAGATCAAGTATGGACCCGTCAACCCATCTACTACCATGTTCTACTTTAAAAGAATGGCAGATATTGAGTCCAAGTTTTATGAGTAAGTGTGAAACACAAAACATATTGTTATCTATTTTATTTATTGATATGATTATATATATGATATGATTTATTAATCACACGCACGAAATCTGTAAGTACGTCATTTGATTTATAATTATTTAGTCAAGCCACATTTCAGCACAGGTAGGTACAGCAGGCATGCAAATACTACAAAATTAATTAATAAAAGCACTATTTAGATACAATTTTCTAACACAGACTAATAAAATCTACCAAGAAACCGACATTATGACGATTAAACAACTATATGTTTATAGCACCTGTATCTTAATTTAAAATAAATAAATAACTCTCTTCACTACACGCAATACTCGTCGAGCGAGTTTGCTTATCTTGCCGAAGCCACAAATTATTTGAGAAGTCCATTAAGAATGAGGGTGTGCAATTATTTAATCAAAATTACAATAAGGCGAAAGATAAAATTTTTGAAAAGATTTTATACCTATGTATAACTTCTAAAGCGTACATAGGCACACACACACGTTTTTTTAAAATTATAAACAAAAAGCTTCAAAGTGTCTTGATTTTTCTTTTTTTGATTATTATTATTATTTTGTATGTTTCGTTAAAAAATGTTGTGTTTATGTTTAAAGATTTCACACACTTCTTCAACAAAGAACAAGAAATAGCATTTGTGAAGTAAATTTTTGATTGTCATTATTTTATACCAGGATATGGGAAGAAATGAGTCTTAACGATAGCCTAAGTGACGTGGAGCGAGATGAGCTTGATGTTTCGGAATACCCAGTTAGTACTAAATATACGAAAATGTGGGAGGCGATGACGGAAGCCGGGATGCCGAAAACAGAGGAAGAAGCTATTGCTAGAGTTGAAGCTTCTAAGAGTTCACGGGAAGGCTTCGCGTGGATCACTGATGCCTCTGATGTTAGGTGAATATTATAATTAATGTAGTAAAATTGTAATTATATACATCAACCAAATTACAGAATATAAAATACTTAAAAAATTCATATAATAACTAAAATAAATTATTTTTTAATATATTATTATACATAGCTTTGAATAGCTAGACTACTTCTACGAGGTAGCTGCCAGCTCTTCGGTCTCCTGTGATGTCGACTAACCTATTTGCTATTTCCTGAAAAATCCTTATAGCGCTCGGACCTCACTGACCAAGGGTCTCGACACCGAATGGGACAAAATCATATTCGGAGCCTTTCTAGGCCTTGCATGCTTTAGCTTTTTCAGCCGCTTCACAAGCCGCACCATCTCTGTTGTTGGTTCCATGTAGATGGGATGGGGCCAGCGTGTCTGAACATTTTGCCCATAATAATTATATTAATGCAGTTGAAACTACGCATAGATGTGATTTTTTACCTTGTGGTTAATAACATTACTATCAGTCTGAGGTTTTTCCTGCGTTGCGTTCCTTAACTTACCACGATTGAGGATTCCAATTAAATTTAAACAACAAAAAGAAAAGCAAAGAAAAATCTTTATTATACATAATAAAAAATGCTGATTAGGTAAAAAGAAAGTCCCCACACAAGGATTCCCTGTGTGGGCAGCTAGACTCTTCCATTTGACGTATTAACGGTACTTAATTAATGAATTCAATCAACCATTATTAATAATAAATAATTATTGGGATATGATTGGAATCTATTCTGGTGGTTGATTCCACTTGAAACTGCTTGTCAATCGTGGTTTCTGCGTTTGGCTGAGTCCCTTTTAAATAAAAGCTTGCGGCTACAATCAATAAAATAGAACTAATTTGAGTGTACGACCAAGCAGGCTCCAAAAGATAAACCACTCCTTATATGGAAATTGTATTTGTATTTACAACAAACTCCCAAGCGAAATCAGAGAATTATCACTAAATAAATTCAAAGCCCTCGTTAAACGAAAATTAATCAATAATGCTTTTTATAAATTTGAGGACTACTTAAATGATCCTAATCCTTGGGATTGATTTGCTCCAGTTCAAACAATTTGTATGGCAATACTTGGCGATTAAAAAGAGTGGCGGAAAGTTTCTTGCCAGTTCTTCTTAAAATAAATAAATAAAATAAAATATGTATGTATATTAAGGAACATAAGATACATGTATCACTTATTCCACGTCATTAAATTTGAACCTTACCTTACCCGCTCTACGCCCTTGACTTGCGAACTGGTAGTAAATGTAAATTTACAATTAATTTAACTTCTTTCTGACAATTCATAAGTGTACTTGTTTACCTACATGAATAAAGATATTTTGAGTTTGAGTTTGAATCAATATGATGATCACCCTGAATCGTGTTATCGAAGTGTATCCGATAGCTGTAACATATCTATGACATATCGACCTCGGTTCAAGCCGTGGTCCACGTCTCGAAGAAGTCGTCACTGTGGTAGTCGTGGGAAACACCTTGACTTTAGGCAGAGCTACGCCGAAGAGCCCGAGCTGAGTTCTTAAGGTCCTTCAGGCCAGTGGGATCCTATTTCTAAAAATAAATCTGGGGTCTCCAGGTCTGCATGTCTTTTATTATATGGTACACTTTCTTCCAAAAGTTTACGGCATAAATTAGATACTTAGATTGCGGTAATTTTTTTTTTTTTTTTCAGATATCTTGTCATGAAGAATTGTGATTTACAAATGGTTGGAAATGAATTTTCCAAAAAACCTTACGCCATCGCGGTTCAAAATGGATCACCACTAAAAGATCAGTTCGATAGAGTGTAAGTTTAATTTTATAGAAGTTCGGATGATAGCTTTACATTCTATTTTTTTATTATACTGTCATTCTTAAGATTTTGTGGAATAATTCTTGTTGAAGCAGTGTTGTTTCCCAACCTTTTTTGTAGAAATGCCCCCTCCCCCCATATTCAACATACTTATATAAAATAATTGAAGTGTCCACTTAAGAAATTTAAATGAAAGGTGTAGAAGGAAATTGTTAACTAAACAATAAGTAAATTTTCAAAACATTATGAAAGACTGAAACAAAATTCCAAATAATTTTAATAAATATTTTTCTATATAAATGAAGTGAGATCCTTGGGTTTGATGCTTGCTGCACAGAGATTTTAAATTAGGTTCCAATTTGGTTAGCTTCAGTATCAAATCTCTACGTTGTGTTATATCCAGCTGATTTCGTTTGAACCCCTTAACAAAAATTGCCCCCTTGGAAAACACTAGTCTAAAAGTGAGACTCCTGCCCATTCTATAAAAAAACATTTTTTTAGCATAATAAAGCTAAGTAACGATCGCATACTAGAAGCAATCAAAGAAAAATGGTGGAATGATAATCCAGAAACCGCTAAATGTGAGATAGTGGACGATTCGTCATACGGAGTTTCTATTCAGAACATTGGAGGAGTATTTATTGTTACCTTCGTAGCAATCAGCCTCGCTTGCATTACTGTGGGCCTGGAACATTGGTGGCACATATTTAGAAAGCGACCCGCCGTTACATCTGTCTCTCAGGTAATTCTCAAGACGAAACAGTGAATGACCTAGCAGCTCCAGAAGATAAAGCAATTCTGACGTTTGAATGAGTGACGTGTCAATCGCGTGATCATTTAAAATTGATCATTTAAACTTACATAAAATTAGGGGTAGTGGCAGCGTTGCCAGATTTTTTTATTGCCAAGGCGGGATTTTGGAACTTTTTGAGTTAAAAAAGCAGATCTTTTTGGACATTATCAGAAACAAGACAATTAAAATTTATGAGTGTGGGAAAAACTAAAAAGCTCATTTTGAAGTGTGCGATGATTGCTATTGCATTTGGTTTGCGCTCCTAATACTTCTTAACAATTAAAATAATCTATACAATTCGTTACAGATACAGCCAGAGACAAAAACCTCCAAGCTTCTTCTATTCACAAAGGAAAGTGATATAAACATTTCTCGATCAAATCTAGAAACATAGTCTTAACACATATACATCACATCAATTTTGAATTAAAATTCTAATGAAAAAAATTATTCACTTGTGATTCACGATTTTTGTATTAGAAATAATTTTAAATTGTCGTATGGTTTGATTTTTAACTTGTATAAATTGTAGGTAACTATTAAACTCAATAATATGTTCACGCCTATAATCCGAAAGGATAGACAGAGACCACGGATCTCCACTTGTTACAGTCCTGACATTCCTCTCTCGCTTCATTCATCTCATAACATTCACCATGCATTCTCGTCGGTTATGGGAACTTCTAACTTGTCCCTTGCGGTACCTACTAAGGTACCTCCTGGGTTTGGTCCAGTGTACGACAAGGCCTACCCAAGCAGACTTATTTTTTCACGTTTACATATACATATTTAAATTTTTTTATGTTTTTTATTTTAACATTTAAGTACAGAAACAGACATCAGATTGGTTAAATACATACAGTTATTACACACTTAACATTATTTGTAAACCTGATGAAGATCTGTACACAGCATTTTCGTGGAATCTTCAGTGCTGGTTTACCAAATACTAACAATTACATACAGTATATAATATGTACATATCATATTAAACTTAATGACAAAAAAAAATAGAAAATAGAAAAATTTAATGCCAAAAAAAAAAGTTATTCTGGTTGCAAGTCTGCACCGCGAATAATCTTTCTAAATTCATAACTACTATTGTGAAAAATATCAACATGAAAACACACAGAATTATAATACTTACAAATATAGAGTATTTACAATACAACATATACTACTTATACTATTAAAGTTGATTAAGCAAATATTTAATATATTTGCTAAATAGACTTTAGTCTTCATTAATTTACGTTACAAGTCAGGCCATATTTTTGTCAGAATATTTTCGAACTGACGTGACAAGACAGTGTGTTGGAGTTTGTTTTCTATACATTTAAGAAATAAACACTTTGCACTAATCCTTATCGTTTAATTTAAACACCATATTTGCTATTCTTTATCATCCTTACATTAAATAAAGTCTCCAGCCACGTCATGTATTTACGTGATATACTCAAAATCCTAACGAATTTTCGTACGAATTCAATCTATTGTTACCAAGTAAGGCATGATTTTTTTGGTTTGGTTGGTTAGAACAGCTCTTGGTTGTTGACCTGTTTTAATAATGACATTTTTTTGCAGTACTTCATCAGAAATATTCCACCACTACACGTGACTCATGTAAAAAGTTACAAGAATGATCCTATTAAAATGCAACTGCAAAGTTTACGTGAGCTGGGAATTGCTAACTAATTAAAACTTGCTGCCAATAGCAATCACTATCTAGATGGAAATACCGCTTGGTTTTAATTAAGTTTAGACAAGGGCGATATAAGCTGTAGTTGTATTGAAACTACTATTGTTTACAGCTTATTCCAGACGGTAAAAGCGGGATCAAACAGTTAAAACAACTTATAGCTTCAATGGAGAAACAGAGATAACATATGCATTCTACTTTAATATGTCTACAAACATTTTTAGAATCCAAGTAATATTTCCATTTTATTATACAAATGTGTATAGTAAATTCTGTGTTTAATATATTGTAGATTTTAATCATTGTTTGAAAAGTTCCGTGAGAAATTACGTTTCTTTTTGTTATTCCACTACTTGACTCTAGCAAGGGGCCAAACGAGATGGAGTACATGCTCAAACGAGGGCGGTTTTAAAAAAATCGTTCAAGATTTTTCCAAGTACTTCTTGCCTATAAAGAACAAACAAATAGATAGGTACAGAATACTAAGGCCAAGAACAATCCCTCCTATTACACGGTAGATTGGTTTCGCGTTATTGGAAACGCGTTGTAGGAGGATATAACGCGTTATGTACAAATTATTCACGTTTAACTTTTCTCGTTAAAGGGTAATTCGAATATTAAGAATTTTTTTTATCAGATATCAAGTCATGGTAGAAAACGAGTTTTCAGTGCGGTGCAACAAGGATCACCGCTGAAATATCAGTTTGACAAAGCGTAAGTTCTATTTTATGATCGAGTTAAAAAGACATTTATAAAATTTGATTAATCTTTACATATTGACAGTATTGTAGCTAATTGGACAACAGTACATGAAGTTCACGAATAACTTAAGGGAACAAGAAAACTGAAAACTTGTAAGAGAAGCAAGTCATAAATTAAAACCCTATAACTGGTATATTGAAATCTAAATAAATCATGTGTGCCATATACTATGTGAGTCGAATAGCCCTCCACTTTTTTTGTTATACTTTTTTTTAGAGAACATTATTTAATAGATAATATAGTCCCTGACTTTCAATAAGCATTATTATTGAGGTAAGACTGCAACCTACTGCAATCTGCTAAACGAGACTTCAATAATGAACAGGATACGATGTCTTGGTTTTTAATCTAATCCTTATGTGCTTATTATAAAAATGGTACAAACGGAGTAAGCGACCAGAGATAGGAGATATCACTCGACTGAGTTCAAAAAATTGATTAAAATGCTAACTAATGCATCAATCTTTGAGCACGGCATCTCGTAGGGAATTTACCTAAACATGTGTTGAAGAACTTTGCGTATAAAGATTGCAATATAAAAAAAAACACGTAACGCTTTTTTCATTTACATAAACGATTATTTATGTAATCAAATTTTATAGTTAGTAATAAAGATTCCTATAATTGTTTGCGATTAGTACCAGCTACGCCATCTGTTATTTATTGATTAAGCATTTCAACAACAGATGGCGTTGTTTCAAAATATACCAAAATATTTGTAATGGGCAATAACATTTTTATTACAGGTCAGTACTCACATACGGTATTACTCGATCGAGCTATACTGTCGAGTAAAACCCATGGCATGGGCTTTCGTCCACACATTGAGCATTGATCTATCGAGTGAGGCGCGCCGTTCAGTATTCACCGAACCGTTCGAGCCAAAAGATGTCTGTGCAACAAAGGAGACGGTGGCTGTATTTAGCAAGTCTCACAGTGCTGTATAAGAAAATCAAAGAAAATGAAAAGAAAAAACGTTAAGCACAGCTACTAATTTATCATAACATTCATTTCTCATATTTTTGTGGGAGTAATCTTTGGACTTGACATTCCATAAACACTCACACAGTCTATGTGTTAATAAAGTCTTCTATAGGGCTTTTGGAATTAACTCGCAAATCCATTTCTCTTAAAAACACGTGTTTCAATCACGATAAACAATACCAGACTGACGCTCGCCTCGTGCCACTCGCAGTCACGTACACACGTTCGAGTCAAGATTGACGGCTCGCTTCGAGTAGGGTCGAAGGAAATTACTTTCATTTAATTCCATCGAGCCGGCTCAGTGCGAGCCTTCGAGCTGTGAGTTTTGCGGTCCACACGTTGATTTTTACTCGACTTCGAGTAAAACTATCGAGTAATACCGTATGTGAGTACTGACCTTTACAGGTGCATCGAGTCATAGTATCCGATAATATTCTTTTGTCTAAAAAATATGTATAAACTAGGCGTAGTTGATTGTATGCAAAGCTTTTAATTATTTTTACCTAATAAATGTTATAGTACTATTGTGTACATGTCATATCTCATAAACACTTTTGTAAGTATTCACAGTCCGATAACTTTAGACATTTTAGCAAGGATAGATCATCGACAAATAGAAGACTGACTGTATTTGTTAATTCTGGGCAAAACATTTAACCATTACAGTAAAATGTAAAGGTCCAAGATTGCTACCCTGAGTAACACCAGAATCACTTAGTATGTCTCCGAATGAACGGCATTAAATTCTACATACTCGTATGAATAAGTATAAAAAAATAAAAATGTCTTTATTCATTTTAAGTATGCATTAGAATGTGTAAGATTTGGGAACCCTTTTAAGTAATAAATACCTGTGTCAGGGTTCCCAAGATATATAATATGAACAAGTAGCGTGACAAATAAATGCTTTGCATAATTACTATAATTTAATTAAAACACCAATATATTAAGGTACTTTTATTAACTATATGAAAACTCCTATAAAAATACTATTAATCTCTCTAACCTAGCAATGTACAATTTACTCTATTGAGTATTAAGTCGACATCGGCAAGAATATTTACAAAATCTAAATAAATATTAACTTTAAACATTTGGTTTACAACTCAATGGTCTTCCCGTGGTTCATGTTCTTCATGTTTTTATTACAAAGTTCCAATTCCAATCTCAGCCCATCGATCTCCGCCTCGAGGGTGCGCGAGCGTTTAAACATTTGTACATAGTTCATTTGCAATTGCTTCTGGTACCGGAGCACTTTGTCCTTTTCCTCTGACCATTTCCTTCTCTCATTGTTGAATTGGGTTTCCTTAGATTCTAGTTCACATTTCAGCCTGTCTACCATTGCGCTGGCTGGGCAGGCTTCGTTGCACGGGTCGGGGAGTTCACCGTTAAGTCTTTGTACTTCGGCGTCCAGCGCACTGTCGTTTGCTGACCAGTATTCTGTTTTGCAGACTTCGTAAATGCCCCTCATAGTTCTTCCACAATCGATTCCCTCATATCCACTAAGAGACACGTCAGACAGTTCTTGTCTGAGTTCCTTCAATTCAGTTTTCAACTTGTCTATTTCGTTTTTGCTAGACTCCTTATTCTTGTTCAGGTCAGTGACGTTGTCTTTTAGATCTTTAGCCAGTCTGTCGACTTCGGATTGCAGTCTTTTTATTGTTTTTTGTTTGTCTTCTGATTCCGCTCGGAGTCTCATGATCTCTTTTTCTTTTTTGTCAAGGGTTTCACGGAGTTGGCGGCAATCGGCTTTGAGTGTGAGATACTCGTGACCTTTAGTAGTTTGTTCGTTCTGAAAAGAGAGTTTACATTAAGAAAGAAATTCATGATAGTGTGAAGATATTTGCAATGTATTGCGAAGGTGGGTCAGTCAATCAAACCAGGGCCATTACAATTATCTAAATATACCATGAACGAACGCATGTTGTGTTGTAGCGTAAATTTACTCTTGCTTCATAAAAAGAAAGAGAAATCATTGAGAAAGTTCATAAGAAAATACTCATTATTGATTTGCGTTGTTTTCCTCGATGGATATTTGCCAAATAGAACATGTGCATTACTAGAATATGGCGATTTCCTAATAAATTTTGACAGGGAAATTATAATTTCATGGTACGTTTTGAGCATGCAGTTTTGACAAAACTCAATTTTATTTCGGATATAATTGTTATACAGATGTCGCTCTGTTGTTTACTCAAGAAGCTTACTCGTAAAGAACCATTTGAAGACTCCCTCATTCATAATAACCTTTTTTTGTCAAATTCTTTTTCGGTGCTATGAAAAGAGATAAATGACGTCTCCAGTAAAAAGGATGCAGTGAAACTATTTTTTTTTAAATAATAAATCGCACTAAAGCATACTTTGTTAAACGCGTTTTAAGATATAGCCTAAGTTCTTGCTTAGCATACACTGAGTAAGTTCTTAAGCCGTAAGGACTATGCGATTACACTTGATGTCATATCTTATCAGTCTATGAAATTAGCCTTAAGGACGAGCGGATTTCCTAGCAAAGGATTAATAGATAGTAAAATTATCATAATTAAGAATTCTTTAACGTTATTTTATTTTAATTGATTGATTATTGATCAATTATCCACAGCATACATTTATAAAGGTTAAAAATAGTAGTGAACGCAGTCACAGATTTTTGCCATAATTCGTTATATGCAATATTTCTTGAGGTTCTTTGTTGGTGAAAACTTGTTTGAAAGAAACTGACAAAGCGTTGTGATTATGTTGAAATTCCGCGGATTAAAGAGGCAGACAACTTAGAAGGTGGATAGACGAAATTAAAGAAACAGGTGGTACATGGCAGAGAGTGGTACATGGCAGAGAGTGATACATGGCAAAGAGTGGTACATGGCAGAGAGTGGTACATGGCAGAGAGTGGTACATGGTAGAGAGTGGTACATGGCAGAGAGTGATACAATGCAGAGAGAAATGGCAGGATTAGGAGGAGGCCTTTGCCAAAAAAGGGCACACAGATGCCTAAAAGAAGATTTGAATAGAAACGTGTTTAAATGTAAAAGTATCTGAATTTATATGCAATAAAAACAAAGTTGAATTAATATTTTTTTTAATGACGTGAAATATTCATTTCTCTAACCCAACGATGAGGCTTTTGGCTGTCATATTTTTCAAACAATTTTGCACAGATTACTACGAGGTACAGATTAACAATGCACACCTGAGCATCCTTGAGCTGAGTCTTCAATAGAGCGATCTCTCCAGCTCGTTGGCAGAGACTCCATTCTGTATCCTCTAATCTCTGCCTCAAGAGCGCTCTATCTCTCCTAACTCTGGCCAGTTCACTGTCTCTTTCGTCTCTCGTTCTCCCGCCGTACGTCTGCAGCATGAGTCGAGGAGCGCGTAGCCGTGCGTCGTGGTTGCGGAAGCGGTCTGTTGTACTGAAATTGGAAAAGATGGTAAAGATACATTGATGATACATTGAAAAAGACGAGAGATGGCGGAGAGTTTCTTTCTTATGTATAAAGTTAAAACATGTCGGTTTCAATTGTTTTTAATTACGTAACTAATCAGATATAAAATATTTATGAAAGCAAGAAACATATGCTCGCACAAATAAAGGTTTTTAATTATATTCACAAATATCATTAAGATTCCTGATATTATAATTTTATTTGATCAAACGAAACCTGTTAACGGTCTTATATAAAGACTTAATTAATAGAAAGATTTTTAATATATTGATTAGATTTATTATAAAAAGCAGTTGCTAGATAATAGCGAGATAGTATCATTTATTTAAATATTTTATAATTAAGAAAAGCTAGCTTATTTTAAACTATTGACAAAATAGTAAAAAAAGCCTCTGTAAAAATAATAACGATTTTGGATTTTTGGCTGATATATTTTATATATTAAGTAACACATATTTATGTTGATATTTTCATATGAAATCTCTACCAGAGGCACTGGATATATCTTTATATAATTGTACTGTACGTGTGTATGTCACTCTACTCCTATTCAACGGCTGGACCGATTTGAATGAATTTTTTGTATGCGTTTAGGTGGCGACTTATGCATAACGGACCAATTATGAGTTTAAGTGCAGAAATTGAGTCCACCAACCATATGTGGCGACCAGAATGGTACGTATGGTATGGTTAGAATCAAAAATCGGCCCGACAGATGGCGCTGCAGCCAGTATCTATCTTATTTATCTATACTGTAACTAAACAGCTGGTTTTTCAGATGCGAGTCTCGGATAGCTTAACTGGTAGAGCTCTTGGAGCGTAACCAAACGATCAGGGTTCGATTCCCAGTCGCCGAATTATTTTTCGTTTGCATTGCAGGCCAACGTCTCTCGGGTCCGCTGGTCGAATATATTTTTTATTTATTTAACGAAATTATGAATAATTAAAATGAACATAATAATCGTACATAGATGATAGGAGAATACATCATATTTATTCGATAAATAAGAAAAACATTGAAAAACAAACTAAATATTTAAATTTGAGCACCTATTCGACTCAGAAATTTTTAACAGTAAAATGGACCATAACATAGTGTCGGAGATGTCATTCCAATTGACATAAATGCAGTCTTACCTATAATCATGCTGATCCCTCTCAAGTTCGGAGACTCCGGAGTCAGCTGGTGAAGGAGCAGGCACTGGCTCCTTGCTGTCCACTAGACCGCCACTGGACTTTGTTCTGAAATGTTAAATTCTTAGTAGAATAAATATTCGAAATGTCCCCACGTCGAGAAATACTGGCTTAGAACATTAAGAATGTTTGAAGGTTCAAATATATTCAACGTCCGTGCCATATAGAGCGTAAAACAAAAACAGTTACGAAAAAACATCATTCAGAAACTTAAGTACAAAAGATAAGGTTATAGCCAGTAATTGTCGTTGTAGCCTTATAAATCTCGCATCTGAATAAGTATTCAGAGCGTGGCAACAATTTAAAAAACCGCTAAACCAACGACTTATTGCCGATCTCGATGACAGTCGCAATTGTAAGAATGACGCAAATCGCAAAAGTCTTTTACAATAAACTTATATTCAAAGAGACAAGACAATACTTTTGCGAAAATTTATACGTATAAAATTTAATACAAAAAAAAATTAATAGTAATACAATTTAATACAAATAAGGATTGAGTTAAGTCGGCGTCATGTAAGCTATTAGTTATAAAGGTGTTCGTAGATTATAATTTCTGGAATTTTATACAAATATATTTAAGAAAAAGTCAGGTGAAATAGGTGATCAGCCACTTTGTGCCTGACACACTCCGTTCATTTTTTGGGTCTAAGGCATGCCTCACGATGTTTTCCTTAACCGTTCGAGCGAATTTTACGCGCACATAGACAGAAAGTCCATTAGTGCACAGCCGGGAATCGAACTTACGACTTTAGGGATGAGAGTCGCACACCGCATCGTCGCACTAGGCCAAAACTGCGCTAAATGCACTCTCACTAACAAATACTTCTACCATACATATAACCAAGAATTCTACCAAATAAGCTACCATTACAGATTACTCCAATGCGGAAATTATTTACATTTATACCGCATACAAAACAATACATACACATCGAAAGCACAACACTAAACAGTAATAGATTAAAATATTTACAAAAAAAACTATTTCTTACGGTATCACGGACGATTAAAGACGTAAAAAACATCGTGTTTACATCCGTTTCACAAATGTTTCATTGCATAGTCTCTAAAACTACGAAAATATTAAAATTTAGCGCAAAACATCGTGTAGTAAACGATGAACGAGCGCGATCATTCACGACCTCATGAATTGCATTCTTATCGTAACTTTACGATTGTAAATTGTCGTAAAACGGTAAAAGTTTTAAAATATTATCCTTTAATGCGTCACTAAAAGGTAATCAACCAGTTTTGTATCCTTTTCAAGTTAGTGATTTTAGGGCACGTGCTTTCATTACATATAGAAAAAAGGGTTATCAATTCCTATTTTCCATTGCAAATGTTGCCCTTCGCGTTTTCCTAGTTTCTGGAAGAATAGCGTGTATGGCCATAATAACGATGAAATAAATCGTATTAAAATGTAAAAATTCATATCCTATTTATCCAATCTTAATTAGACCTGGTATAACACTATGTTTATACAGTGTTATATCTTATATATAAAATTCTCGTGTCTTAATGTTAGTTACCATACTCCTCCGAAACGGCTTGACCGATTTTTATCAAATTTTATATGCATATTCAGTAGGTCTGAGAATCTTTCAACCCCCTAAGTGATAAGGGGTGTCCACCCCAAAAATTTTTTTATTATTTTTTTTTTTGTTTTTATTTTTTTATGATACAGCATACAAAAATACATATAACCCCTATTTTTTTTATTATTGTAGATAGCTATTTTTATTGAACTAAAAAAATGTTTCCTAGAAATAATATACATGGCGAAACAAACTTTTGCTGGGTCAGCTAGTTTTATATAAAAAATAAAAATATTGGATTTTGGCATACGACCAAAGTTTGCGAAGTCTAAATAAGTGATTCTCAACGTGAGGCCCACGTCCCACAGGGGGGCAATTTGATTTTTAAGGGGGGCTATTCGATTTTTTTTTAAATTATTTGTAATTAGAATTTTTCATTATATATTTTACTTGCTGGGTATCAATAACAGTTTCCTAGTATTGTCTTCCTCAAGAGGAAAAATGTGATAGGTATCATTTTTATATTATAGCCTCTTTTCGGATATGACAGTATTTTTTCTTTTATTTTCGTAGATTTTTCTTTTGTTCCTCTTTTGCCGTCCGTTTGCCAGGTGGCAAAGGCCTCCTCCAATCTTCTCCATTCTTTTTAATGTTTTCTTCATTATGTTGTTGTTGGTTTAATATTGGAGGTATCATTTATGTTTCTTTAATTTAATGATATTTATTTTAAATTAAAAGTTATGTATGTTGAATAGAGTGGGGCATAATAATTTTAGTAAGGCATGGCACATAAAAGGTTGGGAAAAACCCTTTTCTTACAATGGTAATTATGGTAACAAGCAATCTTTAGAGAGCAAGACTTCGTATATTACTGTTTACGTTCAACGTCCGTAATATATGCTCTTATTCCTTATGTATTTTATATAAAATATTTTCACTATCTACTCCTATATATCTAAAGAATCATAAACCAAGGCATGTCTCGGTCGACAGCCCGCCTTGCTTCAGCGGCGAAGCGTGGCGTGTTGCAAGCTCACCCTATCAATGAGATCATCTTAAATTGGCCATAAAGTTATGAAATTCTCTATTACTAGCAGACCTCATGTCATCTATCGACCTGCTGGATCAGCTGGTCTTCAAACTTAAACAAACAAACAACAAAGGGTCTTTGACTTAGAAAGCATACAATGTGTTGGTAGTTTTTATGACCGACTGGAACGCTAGGTTGTCGTTACACAAAAAGCGTATGTAACAGTCAATATATATTATTCATTTTGTTTATTGGTATTTAATTCTTAACTCTTATTATTAGGAAAAAAAGCTTTGAAAATCTTAGCTGTGCTGGACCGATTCAGCTGAAAACTTTTATTTAATTTATTTATTTAATAGTTGCAAATAAAAATAATTAAATAGGAATAGGCTGCATTATCACTTCCGAGCGATGTCTTCCAGGCAACCACTGAGAGGAAGCAAAATACGTATATGAATAACGCTACAAAGCAAAATATATGTTGACAATGAAAAGGACTATAAAAAAAGAAAAGGACACATGTATCCCGTTAATTTATTGTGTTAAGTGGATTCGGGAATGATTTAGATTTACAATTTTTTTTGTTATCAAGTCCGCTAGTTATAGAATAAAAATCTCCTTTTTATAAATTTGGGGTTTTTGAAAATGAAAATGGGATTTGGTTATATGGTTTATAATAGAAATATAGTGTTTCGAACAAATTTCTTTCCAAGAAAACCAGACATTGCGTGCATTGACAATTTCTATTATAAGAAACGGTTGATGCTTTGCTAAATTATTTTACGCATGCAAATAATATTATTTAATAAAAATAAAATTACTGTATTTAATAAATTTAAAAGGGATTAAAAACCACACTAGAGACCAGAAGACTATATTTAAAAAAAAACTACTTTTCGATGGCGTAATAAGTTTTCATGAAAATAAAATTGTCATTATCTAATACATAAAATTCTCGTGTCAATTGTGACACAATTGTTCGTTCCCATACTCCTCCGAAACGGCTCGACCGCTTCTTATGAAATTTTTTAATGCATATTCAGTAAGTCTGAGAATCGAACAACATCTATTTTTCATCATTTTTAGACAAAACTTTTTGTTTTTATTTTTTTATGATACAGCATACAAAAATACATATAAGTAACCCTTAATTTCACCCCTCTACGATCAACCCCTATTTTTTATCATAGTAGATAGTTAATTTATTGAACAAAAAAAATGTTTTCTAGAAATAATATATTACAGGGCGAAACAACGTTTGCCGGGTCAGCTTGTGTTAATATAATAATAATTTATTTAAGTAGACAGTAAGAATATTATCTAAACTTAATATTATATTAGTAGTTTAAAGTATATTCAATCATCAAACTGAAAAGGGCACATGGACTTCAATGACTCATGTAAGGGCAATCCAGCCTTCCCGCTATTTCCGCTACTATGCTGTTAGGGCTCCCCCGTGCGCGCCTAACCAGGGATACAGCTTGCTTGGGTGGCGTAAAAACAATCCATGAGATTAATGAGATAAAGTTATTTAAACATACTTGGCTGATAAATAATATTTTTCATATATTTTTTTTATTTAAAAAGGCACAGTAACGAAACATATACAGACCTGACAAAAACACAATACAGGGATTAATGACAAGTGTGCACAACATTTAAATGAAAACATTACAATTATAAAAAAGAAAATAATTAAATAAAAAGAAACAAGATTAAGTAAAACAATTATCTAATTAAAAATTTATATTTATTCTTTGCTTTGGTGACATAATATATACATAAGTTATTAGCCAATGGCCTTATCGCTAACGAGCGATTTCTTACAGACAACCCTAGTAGAAATACATAAATACCTACTGAATGTAAAGTACAAGAAGCGAGCCAAGTTTTATCATATTCAGGAATAAAAATAAATCCATATATCGCAAAGGAATTCAGATAACACCTACTTTATCAAAATCCGTGTTATCATTGCGTGACACACAAACGATTCAAGAAAAAGAATTGGATTTTAAAATGCATTCTGTAAAAAATAATTGTCGCAATTACTTCCTTCACATTCATAGAATTAATTTCGTCACGTAATAGTATAATAAAAGCTAACAATAATGGAATTTAATTGATAGAAAATTGTATTTGTAATATTCATTATATACAGCAAAACATAGTACATTAGTTTCGTCAAGTATTCTTATATGATAATCAGTATTTGACAGGTAAAATATCGAATGCATGAATTATAAGTGGGCAGTACAGTTCGTAAGATAGAAAAAATCTTTTATTTTATAAACCCAACATATCATTTTGTTAAATTACTTATAAGTCTTAAGTTAGGCTAGATCGTAATGTTCCATAATGTCTTGTAAAGACACAAGTATAAAAAAATAAGATGCTCGAAATATAGTTCAATACTCTTAGTTTTCTCAATTCAATTTGGTTAAAACTTACATACAAGGTTAGGTTTAATTAACTCTAAA